AAACACATTGTGACAAGCAACAAACCACTCGACCAGCTGGTACTTGGGCAGTCACTGCTGCCCATTCACCCATCATCCCATACTTCTCCAGCTCCTTGCGGGCCAGGTCCACCACCACTGCATACAAAAACTGCTTGGGACAAGCAACAAAGGCGAATATCACAAATAACAAACAACATGACCAGCTGCCAGTTGGGTAGTCACTGCTACCCATTCGCTGCACAGCCTCTCACCTTCAGCCGTGATGCTCTCCGCCTCCACAGGCACTGACCCCATGCACCTGCTCCGCAACCGCCACTGGCGGTTGGCATGGCCGTCATGCTGGTGCGTCTCCTCCACCCAGTGCATGGTCATTAAAAATACTCTCGCCGCGTGCGAGAGCGCCAAAGGTCGCAGGTGAAGGCTGGCCGCACCTTATTCCACTCCTCCATCCCCCGGAGCTTCTGCACCGCCTGGCGGTGCATGGATGCCACCTGCCATAACAACAAAGACACTATTTTCAGGCTGACAACCAACATAGTTGTGTGTTGCGGACTGTATCACATGGACACCATGGGACAACAGAACATATTGCACACAATGCATGCGACGACGTGGTAACAGCGGACCTCGTTGGTGATGGCCTTCCGGCTGAAGGAGGGGCAGCGGCCGTTGAGTGCCTTGCACATGCGGCGGAAGTTTGGAGACTCAACAGCGGATAGTTGAATGCTATCCGCTGCGATCCAGCGGGTGATCGCTGACCGCATTTGCTGCCACGGGGCGGTTCCTGTGGCAAAGGCCTCCTGCTGCATGTAATGTGCCGCTCCCACCTCACGGCCCTCCTCAGCCGTCCGCGCAAGAAACTCAGCCATGGGAAAAGCGACACCATCCGCCCGTGCTTTGTCTGCCAGCTCCACGGCAACGGACAGCGTCCGTCGCGTGACCTTGTGGTGCCCCATATGCTTTTCCGCAGTCGAGAAGGATGACGACTTGAAGGAAATCCCTTTGCCGCATATGCGGCAAATGATCTTGCTGTGGTCGTCTTCCTTCCCGTAACACTGTCGTATCTTGCAAGGATGCCAGGCCGCCCCTCCTCTTCCACATACAATGGCTTCACCCACCGGCTGCCACTCTGCCCAGGCCCCAATGGTGGGGCCACACACCTATTGCTGCCAGAGGCAACCCCCACCCCACCCCCTCCCTCCGTTCGGGCCCGCTTTGCCCTTGAGGGTGCATTCTCACCCTCGCCGCTGGCCGCGCGCTTCACGTCGCTTCCAGAGGCGGCCGCCCCCGATACCGTCAACGGGGCCCCAGGTGTCGCCGCCGGTACAGATGCAGACCCCACCCTGCCACTCACAGACGCCCCCTCGGGATCCCCGGCTGGCAACAGCCCTTCAGATGCCCCAACAACTGGTAGCTGTTGTAGGTTCAGAGCCCCCTCCGCGCTGGGTTCCAAATCCGAGTCCCCCAGGCCCCCCGCCACCAAATGCGAAAAGTCAAACAGGTCCGGGAGTGGGGCGCTGCCGCCAACAGACGCCCCCTTGCCTTCCCCCCCTGCTGCTGCCACCGCCGTCCCCGCATGCCCGGATCCCTCACCTTGAGGGGTGGGGGACCGCCTTTCCGGGCGCCCCTCTGTCTGGCCCCGGGCATCCCCTGCCGCAGGCTGTGGGGGGCCGCCTTGGTGATGTCGGGCCAGGGGCCGTGACTCCCCCGCCTTCACATGCCGCCGCCGCTGCGTCTGCTTGGTCTTGCCACCCATCGCAACAGACGCAAACTGTGTCGCAGGGGGGCAGGGGCACCACATTTGTGGACCGTGGGGCGCGCGGCCCATGCGTCAAATCTGATCGCTGCATTCTTATTGGTCCACGTATGAATTTGATGTTGTTATGTATTGTGGAGCGGCTTCTAGAACGGGTTTCAGGACGGCCTGGGACGGCCTTCAGAACGGCCTGGAACGGCCTTCGGAACGGCCTGGAACGGCCTTTGGAACGGCCTGGAACGGACTCTAGACCGGCCTTGGGCAGTACAGGAACGGACTCCTAGGTGGGCCATACTGTCCCAGATCCGTCCCAGTCCGTTCCCAGCCAGGGACGGAGCCGTCCCTGGCCGTTCTTGGGCCTGCCGGCCCAAGGACGGGGACGGACTCCGGTCCGTCCCCGTTCCCGTCCCCGTCCCCGTTCCTAGTCCGTCCCCGTTCATGGACGGCCCACCTCTGCGCCCATCCCCCGCTGAGTCATCTCCGGGGCCCACCCACGGAGCCGCGGAGCCAGCCATCCCACAACACCCCTCGCTGCCCCGCCCAGGCCTCCAGGCCAGTGCGTTTCACACACAGGGGCGCCGCCGCAAACCTTCTCCGGTCAGATCGGCGGGAAGCCCCTCCTCCGTAATCCCACCGGCTCAGATTGCCGCAGGCGGCCTTACGCACAGTCCTCGCCCACCCGGACCATCGAGTCCCAGCCGCTCGGGTCCGGGGTATTCGGTTTAGGGGCTCTGGACCGAAAGGCCCCCGCCCTGAAAACTTTACGGGCAGACTGAAAGGCCTCAGGGAGGCGGCGGTTTTCCCCCGGCGGAAGGGGGCTATCCCCTTACGGGGACGCGCAGCCACCGCACGGCTGCACCCCTCCATCGCCGGCCCATGGATGTCCACGGGGCCGCTCGTCACAGCGATGGGCATTGCTCCGATTTCTCAACGCAGGGCCCTTCCCTGTCTGTCCCCGAGTGAACTGCGCGGGTCGCCTGTAGGCGGGCTGGTGCTGTGTGGAGTTGCGGGGACCCACTGTCCATGGGGGTGGCGCGGAGCCCCAACGGCTCATTTGGCTTTGGACGTGCTTCCCTGATTGCGCTGTTTAGTTGTGCTGGTTACGAGAGTGTATCGCTCAGGTTGCCGCTGAATCGGGGCCCTGTTGCCGTAGCCTGGGCTGCCGATACTGCCCTGGTAGCCTAGATGCTTATACGATCCATCCCCGCCTGGCCATGGCTCCCCCACATGGGAGTCCCATGCCGGTGAACTCTGGGCCTCACGGGGCACCAGCTTGACGCAAGTGAATGGCGTATTATTGAGCCATAATGGGCTCATTATTGGTGACCCGAGCACTAAACTAAAACCTAAACCCTAAAACCTACAACCAAACCTGTGCTAACCCTAACCCTAACCCTAAGACTCACCCTGAAACTAAACCTAACCCTAAAATTGAGGTTAGGACGAAGTGTGCACGTGATTTGGTGCAAGCAGTCACCGATTTGGTGCAGGCAGTAATGTTCCCCCCCCGCGAAAGACACTTTTTCCAATTGATCTGCAGTTCATCTGCAGTTAATGTTCACAGCAGTCTGATGAAAGCCAGCGGCGAGTTCGTTGGCGTCGTGGATTGGTGTTGAGAGCGAATTTGCCGTTGATCTCAGCAACAAAACACAAGTGCTAGCATGGGTCAGATGCCCGCCGCGCGAGCCACTGGCCTACTCCATTTCGCTCCGCAGCAGGTGGTTCCACCGCGCAGCGATGCCCCCCAACAGGCAACACTGTGGCTGCAACATTTTACGCAAGAAAATGCCCAGATGTTCAACTGCGTCGACTCGAATCGACACCTTCAATGCAAGGTGTTGTGTCGAGCTTTGGGATCGCCAGACAGCTCCAAGCACGACAACCAGCAACAAATGCCTGGGTCCTGGACACTGAAATGTAACGCCACAGGACTCAAGGTTACGGCCATTCAGAGTGTTGGCCAACCCGCACTCTGGGCCCAGTAATTACCCCCTTTGTTGTTTCCGCGAAGATCCTTTCTTGTTTTGGACATCCTAAGAGCATCTTTATCGGTCGGCGCTATTGTTCCGGCGGAGCTATTCAGGAACGGTTCTCATTGGCTGCCGTGCCACCTTACTAAGGTGGCATGTGCCAAATAGCGCCGGTGCTATTGGGGAGCAATAGCACCGGGCGTGCATCCGTAACGGTGGATGCCTTGGGGAGCAATAGCACCCCGTGGGCATCCGTAACGGGGGGTGCTATTTGCATGGAGCAATAGCCCCCCCTGTGCATCCGTAACGGGGGGTGCTATTTGCAAGGAAACTCCCACACGCCCTCATCCACACAAACCAACACAGCCTTGCTGTCCGCGCAAACACAAACACCCTAGCTGCTCGCCGATCCACGACGGTCACCAAGCGTTGACCAAGTGTTGACCTGAGCCGTGAGCCACCTACACTCGGCGAACAAAGAGAATGGGGCGCGGCGACAAGTGGATCCCGGCCGACGATCACATGGATCCACCCTTCGAGATCCACGTCGAAGCCGTTCCCATCCATGGTTCGGCTGTCCCAAGGCCCCTCTGCTATCCCAAGGCCCTTCCGCGTTGTTCCAAGCGGCCGCCGCCAAGTGCTGCGCGAATAGCACCGGCGCTATTCTGGGGAGCTATTCGGTCTCGAGCGGAGCTATTCTGGCCCGAATAGCTCCGCTGGGCGCCGAATAGCTCCGGGGGAGCTATTGGGGAGTTATTGCTCCCCAACCGTTAATGATGGTTTTTTGACGTGCGGAGCTATTCGGATAGCCGAATAGCTCCGCCGGAACAATAGCGCCGACCGATAAAGATGCTCTAAACCCTAAAACACTGACCCACTGACCGGCATTGGCCTTGTCAGCGGAAGAAGAAGGGATCCTCACGGAAAAGACAGAGGGCCTTACATATTCTCGCACTCTGGTGTCGACGTCAAGGCGAACGCAGCCTGTTTCGCATTTTGCGCCCGTTTTATCCGCACCAGCCCCGATTCACCAAACATTCTGTCATGATTCCCAACCGAATGGCGGCCCAAACCGCCAGCCCCAGCCCTTCTGACAGCGGCGCCAGCGCGCGGGCGACTTGGGCGGGAACGCGTTTCTGGAACGGGGGACATCGCCCGCCCAACTCGGCCCGCCGCCCTGCAGTCCCAAGTCCAGCCCCTCCCCCTGGCCGCTGCCTCCTTCCCGCCCGCGCCGCCGATCGTCCGCGACACCCACCGGCATCCCAGCTGGCCGTCGGCGGCCGACGGCCAACATGAAGTACATCGTCGTGACGGGCGGCGTTGTTAGCGGCCTGGGCAAGGGCGTCACGGCGAGCTCGATCGGCGTGGTCCTTAAAGCGTGCGGATGGCGCGTGACGTCGATCAAGATAGGTGCGCCCGGCGTGAGCCCGCCCTCCGCCGCCCGGCCATGATGGATGTGCCGGCCGCTGATCTCTGAGGTCGCTGTGGCCAGATCCGTACTTGAACACGGACGCGGGCACGATGTCCCCGTTCGAGCACGGGGAGGTGTTCGTGCTGGACGACGGAGGCGAGGTGGGTGGCCGGGAGACCGGGGTTTGGGTCGCTGTTTCGTCGGCGCAGTCGGGATGCCCGGAGATGGGAATGGGGCTGACTGCGGCGGCCGTACCTGAATGGGCAGGTGGATCTGGACCTGGGCAATTACGAGAGGTTTCTTGACGTCACGCTCACCAGGGACAACAATCTGACGACGGGCAAGATATATCAGGTGGGCGCGAGCGTGGAGATTCTGTGGACCGTGTTGCGTGTTTGCTCTCGCTTCTGCGGACCGGGGCGCGTCGTTGGTGCGCGCCTTGGACAACTTCCCTGGCGGAGGGCCCATCCGCCTGTCGTGCGGCTAGGCGTGGTGATTGTATGATCGCTTTGGCGTTGATAGGTGCCCTCGTGTTATTGCTGCTCGGGATTTCATGGAGTATCAACTACAGGAGACTGTGGAGGCTTGTTGGGTCTCCATGGCGTGCTGATAAATGTCCACATCTGCCCCTCAAGTTTGAATACCGTCCCCTCAAAGGGGTCCAGCATTGTCAACCTCAAGATATGGCAGTGTGCGTGCAGTCTGTGATCGAGCGCGAGAGGCGAGGGGACTACCTGGGTTCAACAGTCCAAGTGGTTCCTCACATAACGGATGCCATCCAGGACTGGATGGAAAGGGTGGCACACATCCCCGTTGATGGCAAAGATGGCAGCCCGGACGTGTGCGTGATGGAGCTGGGAGGCACTGTGGGTGACATCGAGTCCATGCCATTCCTTGAGGCTCTGCGGCAGTTTCAGTTCCGTGTCGGACCACAGAATTTCTGTGTCGTTCATGTGAGCCTGGTGCCCGTTCTGGGGGTTGTGGGCGAGCAAAAGACAAAACCCACACAGCACAGCGTCCAGGTGCTGCGCTCGCTTGGGCTGAACCCCAACCTGCTGGCAGTGAGGAGCCAGGATGTGGTGGTGGACGCTGTCAGGAAGAAGCTGGTGAGACATCCGCCTTGGAATAATTGGCAACCTGTCCATCTAATGGAATCCATGTGGAGGAATTTTCATTTATGTGTATTTGTCACTGCGCTTTTACCAATTGTGCGATGTGGGATAACAATATGTCTTCCAGCCTTGTAAATACAGGTTCGTGGATTTCTTTTTGTTTCAACTGTTCTAATTTCTTGTTCTACCATTCAATTTCAGCAGAGAATGTTTTCAGCCCACCGATTGGTAGACATCACTGGACTATGTCCATTGTTGTGAGTGGCAATGTGTGGGACAGTTATGTGGCTCCATAGTATGTTTGGAGCTGCATGCTGGTGAGGTGGCAGATGTGCCACAATGCTGCCATCTACACAGCTCAAAATCCTTTTCCCTATGTGCTGGCACACCAACGAAAGACCACCACCACGCAGAGTTTTCCACTGTGTCGCGTCCCATCAACCACTTTGTCAGAACCTGGCGAACTGCTCTGACCTGCTACCTGCTGGGCGACTGCCAGTGTGCTCCGCAGCTAGGACATACCAACCTGAGCACTGTTCATTGTTGTTCAGGCCCTATTCTGCCAGGTGAAGCCTGAAAACGTGCTCAACATTCATGACGTCTCCAACATCTGGCACGTGCCCTGCATCCTGGAGGAGCAGGCTGCCCACAAGACGATCTGCGACGTTCTAGGCCTGCCTGGTGCCGAGTCCATGGACCTTTCCAGCTGGAAGGACAAGCTGGCAAACCGGTGGGATGTGCTAACGGACAACGTTAAAATCGTGCTGATTGGCAAGTACACCGACTTGCAGGACGCCTACCTCTCAGTGCTGAAGGCACTGCAGCACGCATGCCTCAGTGCTAACCTCAGGCTGCAGGTGTGATGCGGCAAATGCACATCGATTGATGAGCCGATTGATTACATTTCACTTTGTGATCATTTATTGTTGAAGTTTATGTTTATTGTTGTTGCTCATTTGATTCCATCTGCCTGCACAGGGAAAATGTTGTCCTTCACTTTGCGATGACAGACATTTGGGAATCCAGCAGATTGCTTTTGGTATTTAATTGGACGTTTGCATGTTGCCTTTTGTTTTTGATCGAGAGAGCCACACATGCACACCACATATGAACAGCAGTCTGGTTGACATTGGCTGTAGGTCACCTGGGTGGAGGCCAGTAACCTGGAGGAGGCTGCCAAGGTTCAGGACCCTGAGGCCTACAAGTCGGCCTGGGAGGACCTGCGCTCAGCCAGTGGCATACTGGTCCCTGGGGGTTTCGGCAATCGGGGAATCGAGGGCAAGATCTTGGCCGCCAACTATGCTAGGTTGCACAGGGTGCCCTACTTGGGTATTTGCCTTGGAATGCAGGTGTGTGTTTGTTGCTATCGCTGTTGATCAGAGCACTGCCAGAGAATGCCATGCATTTTTCCTGCACGAGCACAACTATCTCCAGATGTTTCCAGGTATCTCAAGATTTTTATGCAGACTCAAAGCCATGCTGTGGATGGTATCAGTGTTGCCCACGCGACCCACAAACACAATGGCAAAAGGTACATCCCATTGTGTGTTCGTTTGTACTGCTGGTTGATTCAATTCTTTTGCACGAAAATGAAGAAGAAATAATCCTGGCAGCAACACACGTCGAAAACGGGTTCCGTTCGCCAGATAAATTGCTGGGAACTGCGAAGTAGGGCTCTGAATCTACAGTAATCGAGAAGTTATTATCAATTAACTAACCAATTAACCGGTCTATTTCTTCATATTTATGTACTTACTTTTTATTTGCTTTATTGTTTACGTGTTTATTTGTTTATTCATATTTATGTACTTATTTTTTATTTGCTTTATTGTTTACGTGTTTATTTTTTTATTCACAAATTTGTTTACTGTTTACTTATCATTCTTTTCTTTTATGCTTATTCACTTTTTGGTTAATTAATGTTTTCTTCAACTATTGCAAAATGAGTAGTTATTTTTGTTGTTGCTCATTTAAAGCGCATTGATACGTGAAAGTGTCATGCCCCTGGGTCAAGCAAACACAACCAAAAACATGCCTCTGTCTGCGTATGAACGCCAAGCTCGGTGCACACATCTCCTCGAGGGCAAGTCAGAAAACAAACCAACAGGCTCGAAAGGAATGGAAGAGGGTGCGTGTTGACAAGTCCTTGTTGACTATGCTCGCTACAAGCATGAGAAACGGGTGCCGTTCACGCACCCCATGTTTCGGACGCAGGTCGTGATTATCGACTTCGCCAGGTCGGTGCTGGGCCTGGCGGACGCCAACAGCACAGAGTTCGACAGCGCGACGGCCCACCCGGCGGTGGTCTTCATGCCCGAGGGCTCCACCACCCGCAAGGGCGGCACCATGAGGCTGGGCAGCCGGCGCACCGTGCTGCAGACGGTGGACTGCATAACCGCCAAGCTGTACCAGTGCGAGAGGTACGTGGACGAACGGCACCGCCACAGGTACGAGGTCAATCCGGCCATGGTGGAGCGCCTGGAGGAGAGGGGGCTGCGGTTCGTTGGGAGGGACGAGACGGGGAATCGGATGGAGATCGCGGAGCTGGACAGCAGCTTGGGGCACCCGTTCTTTGTGGGCGTGCAGTTCCACCCGGAGTTCAAGTCGCGGCCCTACCGCCCGGCGCCGCTGTTCCTGGGGTTCATCTTGGCCTCAGGGAACAAACTCGACAGCTACATACGGGGATCGCTTCGCCACAGGCCCGACAGAGCCGCGGCGACGCCCGGCTGGTCCGGAACCCAGCTGGCCCCGACGTGAATGAGTCGGCGGTGAGTTGATGGGGGATTCGGGCGCCGTTTTCGTACAACACGGTCGACCGGTCGTGCGGTGCTGTGGTTAGTCATGACTGGGGGGTGGGCAAACGGGGGCCTCCATTCTGGGAACCTGCTGGGCTGGGAACGCTTGCCACGTGCGCATATAAGTGCGTTGGCGAACGTGGATGCCTGGGATGGTGGTATGACGTTTGCATCAGACCCCCCTTGATGTCCCTGTCGCCATTGAGGAGCGGAACGGCGGCACCGAGGAGGAGAAAAGTGGGCAGCCGCGCTGACAAACGAACGACGCTCAATTGCTGCCTTGCTGGGGGGAAATAATACGCAGTTCATATTATTTGCGCTGGTGTATTTTGCATTTGGCGGCGTCTTCCTGCACTTGTCCACGCCGCCTTGCAGGTGAAAGGGCAGCGATTTGTCACGTGTTTGACAACTGTAATCTAGGAATATTCAAGCTGCGTTTGCCGCTGGTAACTGCAGTTTTATTGTTTATCATCGCAATGAAGGCACACAAGTCAAGATGTTACAACCATGCACTGAGTACATTCAGGCCGAGGAGCAACGAGGCTATTTCGGAAGGCACACAAGTGAAGCGCTTTGTCACTGTGCACATGCCAGACCATTGCTGGGCGCTCCTGGCACAAGTGGCTGTGGATAAACTCGCCTTTCCCTGCTGCTGCTGGCACACCATTGAAACTTCCCAACACAGCCAGCATGTGTCGTTGGCTGCAATTCGTCGACCATGACCCGTAAGAGGTCTGTAGCCAGGCTTGATTTTGACGTTTACACGTACGTTGTTACGTTTTACGCTTTTGCACATAAACAGCTGTATTTACGCAATTTTACAGCTCACTGGGAGACCTGGGTTACATGGTGAATTCGAGTAGAATGATCAGTCCTCTGGCCCCTCGAGCACCCGCAGCGTTCACGGCAAGGGCAACGACGTCGGGCAAAAGTTCGTTTCTGCCTACTCCAATGAGTCTGGCTGCCACTGCCTGGACTGCTCAAGTCTGCATCTGTTGTCGCTATGCACACGGCACTGTATTTAAGTCTGTATTTACATATTTATAGGTCTGCGCATAAATGTGCAAACCTATGTTTGCGCCTAAACACGTGTTACTTAAAGCAGATCAGGTTATATGGCGCAAAAACCAAGCCTGCTTGCAGCTTTGCAATACAGCAATGCAAAATGCTCCAAGATCCCAAGGAGTTTTTTTGGAATACCCCAGTTTTGTCACGTCCATGGCTGTTGACAGCGTGAGATCACGGGCACTGCCTCTGCCTTAAGGTCAAGAGTGCTACATACCCAATCCCCAAAATGCTGGAGCCGTGAAAACTCAAGAATTCTGAAGTCCTGCACCCTCGAGCGCTTGAGTCGTCAAGCCTCAATTCAAAGGGCTCGAGCACCAGCCGTAAACCCTGACAGGCTAGAGGGACCCAAATAAACTCCAAAAATCTGCTGGCCCAGATTGCCAAATTATCAGCACTGCAGTCTTTTTGCTGGAACTGTCGTCCTTTAGTAGCTTGAGTATGGGGTGTGGGGTCCCCTGTTAATGCGGCTTGCAGTAGTCTTGCAACTATAGAAAAGACGGATTTGAGCAAAAGGACTGCATCGTGAATTGGATGGGCCCGAGCCAGCCCCGGTAACCCAAGCCATGACTCAGCTCGTTGCAGAGGCCACGCGCACATGGATCACATGGCGCAGCGCGGGGCGCGGGCGGTTGGGCAGTGTTCCGTGCAGCGCCTTCCAGCCAGCTTCACCCGCACACTGTGCTGTCGGATACTTGCCAGGGTGCTTCAGGCCGAGCCAGCCCCCGCCCACCCGATAGAAGCCAACACCCCCATTGCCGGCGTCGGCGAAAGCACCCTGGACATATCGAGTGCAGGTGACGTCGAGGTGCTCATTCGAAGTGCGGCCCAGCCGTCCCGTCGCACAACTCTTAGGGACACCCAATCGGCTGTGGGATCGTTCCCTGCCTCGGCCGGCCTGCTAAAGTGGGCCCAAGCTCCCATTTTTACCAGCCAGCGTCCAGAATGTGTTGGACTGCGGCTCGGAAAGTTGGCCGGGGATCGTGCGCGAGGATCGCGCAAGGGGCCTTCCGAGGGTGCGGCGCCGTGGGCGGCGAGCGCACCGCGGCCAAGGGCAGCCCGCGTCAAGAACCGCTCCCGCTGCGCCGTGCCGCAAAGCGATTGCCGCCTGGGCGGCGGCGGGCCCAGCGCGGGGGATGACTGGCGTCCACGCAGCACCACGCGGCCCAATTGCAGCCAATGTACGGGCCAATGAGTACGGTTTGCTCAGGACACATCCGTCCATGGGCCGCCGCGCGATTCTGTCCGGAAGCCAGTGTCGCCCTCGAGCGAACCCGACCTGCTGGGCCCCCCTGCGTGAGCGCCGCTCCAGGCCGGCTTCCCGCCTTCCGCGAGGCCCTTTCTCGCCGCTTCCGACAATGGTGGGGGCAGAGAGCGGCGCAGCGCGCCCCCTCGCCATCTTGCGTGGCTCGCGTCGCGCGTCGTTCTTGCGGGATTGACGGACTTGGACCCATGCCGCAGATTCGACTCAGTCGAGCCCAGAAGGAGGAGGTCAAGCAGTTTCGGACGATCACGGGGGCCGTGTAAGTTGGCGAAAGTCGGCCCGCCGGCTGCTGCGCCGGCCGTCGAGGGCGGGGTCTATGCGCGATTGCCCGCGGTTGGTTGCTGCCCAAACATCGGCATTCTGATGGACACAGTGCATAGGATGAACGTCTCGGATAGCGCGTGCCTCATGGGATGCACGGCACGGCTTGTGCCGTCAGATTTCTGCTTCGCGTGTTCCTGGCACAGTGAGGATCGGAGCTGATGGGCACATGTTCGCCGTCTGCCGCGCAGGGAGAAAGTGGCCATCGAGTACCTGAAGGCGGAGGGTTGGAACCTTCAGAACGCCATTGGCTACTACTACACCAGTCCGCCCGCCATGCCGGCGCCCAAGGTCAACAGGAAGGCCATCGAGAGGCTGTGGGCGAAGTACAGAGGTGGGCACCGGTCGCGGGGCGCAGTGGTGCCCGCCGCGCTTTCTGCTTTTAGGTGGGCATTTTGAGGAAACGAGGGATGGGTGTTGTGTGCGGCGGACTCCAAGCGTTGCCGTGCGGCCCTGTCTGGGCCCGTCGAGGTTGGCGCAGCCTTGGAGCGGTTGCCAACATTTCCTGCTGCGGGGGACGGGCAGCTGCGGCGGTTTGTGGTGGCGCATTCAGGGAGCAGCAATAGGTTTCTTACCCACTTGATGAGGCCCATGCACAGAGCTGGTTTGCCCATAACGATTGCCTGGACTCGTTGCACGTGGTTTTCCCCTTTGGTGACTTGCTGCCTTGGAGCAAGTATGGCCATTGAAAGGTCTTCTTGGTCCTGTTGATTGCTAAACAGTTGGCAGGGGCTTCTCGAGTCCACTACAAGCAGACTCCATCCAGAATTCAGAATGCGTGGAACTTTCAGCAAACTTCTTACCCCAGTCCAGCTGAATCCCTGCAGTTGGTAGCTGCCACACACAGGTGGTTAGGATCAAATGGAGCAGCGGGAATAATGGAGGCTGATTGTGGCCCTCATGCCAAATTTTCTCCATTATGTCACAGACCCACAACAGGACGTAATGCAGGCAGAAGGGATCGGCAACTTCTGTGAGGACTTGCAAGTGGATCCATCAGATGCGGCACTGGTAGGTGGCACGATTCTGGGTTTGGGATATTATCTGAGACTTTGTTCCTGGCTCCTGCTTAGCTTGGTGTATGAGCTTTCCCTGTCTATGCGTTTCATTGGCCCAGCTGTTTGGCAGGGCAGGTGCGATAAAACAAGAAGGGGCAAGCCAGCTGTCGTGACAATGAATTTCAATCTGGTCACTGCCCCAATGGCTGCAATGCCCTAAAGCCGCAAAGTTCTTGGACTGTGGACTTGTCAAAGGGGAAATTCTTCGTTCAAAGCGTGCTCCCATACAAGAAACATGCAAAATTGCGAACTGCATACGGAGTGCATCAGGAGGTTGGGAAAGTGCTGAAGGGCTGCCAAGATCATGTTAGCATTTTGTGGAACAAAATATGGATGGGTGAGCTTGGACAGCAGTCAGAGCAATGCATATAGACCTTTGCTGACTCCTGGTGTTGTGTCCAGCTGGTTCTGAGTTGGCACATGAAAGCAGAGGTCATGAGCGAGTTTTCAAAGGATGAGTTCATTGGCGGGCTGACGCAGCTGGGCTGTGACTCGATCGAAAAGCTGAGGAAACGCCTGCCTGACCTCAGGGCAGAGCTCAACGATGCGGAGACCTTCCCAAAGATCTACGAATATGCATATATGTTTGCAAGAGAGGTGTGGCAGAGTACTGCATTGCTGATCTTGTGTTTGTTGTGCTATTGCCCTTGGTTGTCAGGTGGATGAGAGCTGAAGACAAGGGCATTGGCTGGGAGTATAGTTATCAGTAATCAGCCACGACAACAGAGCTGCTTGCATACTGTAAATTACTTACTTCTAAGTAAGTACACTATTACCAACACAAGGGGTGTTGTGTGGAACAACACAGGAGTAGATCATCTTGCCCTAGATTACAGCCTGGGAAGTTTTAATGCAACCTGAAGTTGGGGGTAGAGCACTGGGCTTTGTATGGTGTCTCCCAAGCCCAAGGGGGCCAGCATCAGGCTTTTGTCCACGCCAGGTTGCCCTACTGCACTGTGAGTTGTGATGCACTTGTGGGATGAATGTGAATGAGAGAATTCTATTTTTCTTCCAATCTTACATTTCACATGGCCAGAGCATGAAGGTCTGTGTGCTGTGCATTTGTCCCCTTTGTGTGACCCTGCTTGTTGACTACCACAGAAAGGGCAGAAGTGTGTGCACCAGCCCATGGCCATTGCTATGTGGCAGCTGTTGTTCATCAACTCTCACCATTGGGAGCTCCTGGGCGAGTGGATTAATTTCCTGGAGAATCACCACAACAGGGCGATCTCAAGGGATACCTGGACACAGCTCCTTGATTTCAAAAAGGTGAGGCTTGTCGCTGGGTTGTTGGGGTGCATACTGAGTGTGGCAACAACGAGCTCTTGCATCCTTCACATGCTGGCCTAATTCGTTCTTTTGTGCTGTCCAGACTGTGTTTTCAGACTTTTCAAATTTCGACCCCAGCGGTGCTTGGCCCTACCTCATAGACGAATTTGTGGAGCACATGATGCCACAACAATCTGAACAGGAGGGTTTACAGGTGCACTGAGGGAATTTATTTTAGTTCAGAGGGACCCAATTCCAAAGTTCAGGCCTTGCTAATCCACCAGGGCAGCCCGCGAGTTTTCATGCTCGCATCATATTGGTGGCTGTGCAGATATATGGAGTTGAAGGTTGGGAGCTTAGACGAGGCGCAGGGTGCATAATCGGGACCCTGAGTTGTGTAGGCAGGGATTCGCTAGCCAGGTGTTCTTTAAATTGCCATTAGTAGATGGCAATTGTGGCTGTGGGTTTTGGGTTTTTGGTGCAGGCAATTTGTTCTTCCTGCATGTTTGTTGCCGAAGGGGATTTGAGTGTATGAGAGTTGGGTACTGGCCATTTGTTGTAGGTGGGTGCACAGTTGCTGGTGGGTAATGGACTGATGTGCCTGCATTCCAGAACCATGCCATACCTCTGAGCCGTTTGAGTTTCCTGTCAGCAACCGGAGTGTTGCAAAGATGTGGATGCAAGAGGCTATTGTCGTTGATGCGTCCGCGTGTATGGGTTGACCTCATAAGACAGCAGCATTCCCACTCCCACCACACCCCGTGCTGGCTCTCACTGGCTCCTACAGGCGGCAGTGCTTGGGAGAACGTCAAGTCGATGAAGGTTGGGCATCAACGGCCTGGTTTGGCAGGCACAGAAATGCAGGGATGCCGTTTCCACGCCCATGTCGAACAAGCTGTCTCCTGCCAACGGATGTGCCTTGGCTCCATGTGCTACGCTTGAGATGCATGAACACAAATCGCCCAAAGCTGATGTCGGTGCTGACGCCATTTACCACAGCTGCCAGCTGTTCGTTCGGTGTCACCACCAGAATATCCGGCCAAACTTGCACGGGAGAATGTTGTTCGAAAGCTGGACTCCCAGCGGTCGCAATCATGCTGCCATTCCCATTTGGGTTTCGCTGCTTGTGGAGATCGCGTCCTGATTCCAGAGCGTGCGATCCGCTCGACGTCGGACGTAGCCCCGCGCACAGAATGTCTGGACATTCTGAGCGCGTGGCCATGCCCGGCGTCGCCTTGCAGGCGCAGGGACGGTGGTTTGCCACTGTTCGACAAATGCAATGAAATGATTTGAAGTCCATACCCACGCTTTCCCTGCGGGCAGAATCTTGTCACTGGCACCTGTATGAGATGCCCCGCTCATTGTCCACAGGACTCCCTTGGTTGCAGTCTGGACGCCGCTAATCTTACTGGAACACAATCCACACTTTCTGCAACATATCCTGCCCAGGGCGTGAAGTCCCGTTGGGGCGGATTAAGTTTCACAGGATCGGCCATCTGCGCGTGGCAGTTCCATTGCGGCAAGACAGCAAGAAATCATCGGCGCCAGACCCCAGCAAACCCTCGTTTGCCGTGCAAGACACAAGCATATGATTGGGGCGCATTCGCAAGGATATTGCATCTGTTAAAACTGCCGTTAGTCATGAGCACCGGTACATCAAAGGCGGGCTCATGACCGACATAGGGCAGCTGACTGGGCCACTATCAAACAGCCAGTCAGGATGAACAAGAAAAGAAAAAGGAAGCAAGCAAAGAAAAAAACAGATATGCGTTCATTAAAAAAAGAACAAGGGTGAGCTACTATGCAGACGGCATATCAAGAAAATATCAAAGGCTTGCTGTGCCGTTATGGTTTATGGTGTCTAACGTACTGGCTGGACAATGGCTGTAGGAGAAAGACCAAGGAAACAAGGCAAGCCACAATCCCTCAGTGGCTGTCCAGTTCTGGACACGTTGACGAGCATTGATACCGCCTGACTGGGGCTCGACCGTTCATGAGCATGATCGCTGAAGACTTTTCAAGAAAGTGATGGATTTGTTTCATGAAAAGGCAGCATGAAAGACTTGATTTGATGGACACAGTTGTTTCCACTTTAAGGGGATCCGAAGGTCTGTGTTTGACGGCTGTTTGATGTTGTGTATTATCACTGTAATCCACAAAAGGACCTGACTAAGAAAGGCTACCAGCTGCGTGCGTTAATAGACCGTTTTGAAACGGTCAGCCCAGGGATGTCAACTGGACACATGGGCAAGGACTTGGCAGGAAAAAGTATGCATTAAGATACCTGCCGTAGATTACTAGGAGCTGGGTGAACAAAATTCAAGTTCATAGACAATGCGAGATGAACAGAATGACTGAAGAAATGGCAGCTGAAGAGTGTATAACGAGTAGAACTGAACAGGAAAGAAGCACAAGGCGATGCTGCTGAAGTTTATGCACAGTTCAGTATGAAGTGCTGCAGCTTGATACGATTAAGTGTGGTTATCCGTATTGGAAATACGGGTCTTGGTGTTAGACTACAGTAGCCCAAATATGGGCCTGAAGTAACTGCTGGACCTGAAGCCATACAACCACAGAGTTTGAAGATTGGTTGCTACGAATATTCGCTGATAAAAAAAGGGTTTCTTGAAAAGAACCGCTGACAATTCATGACAGGAATTGAAAAAGAAAAACAGCTAAGGAAATTACAAGAAAAGGCAAAAAAAATGTGAAAGAACATAGCTGTACAGTGGTACGGTGTTGGCTGAACATTATAACATTTTACTAAGACTTTGGCAGCTGCAAGGGCGGTTCTAAACATTGAGCCAGGGATGCTGTAAGAAAGCACCAAAATGGCCTGGCAATTGTGTGCCCGCCAGTGATTTAAATTAGGAGATGGCTGTGATTGAAACGACGCCCAGCGCCAGGGCACGATGCACGAAGAGGCCTGATGTTGTATGAGGTTTATCCTGATAATCAAACATGACCCACAGGGCAGTACGGACGCTGCCAGGCGGTCGGGATGATTTGTAACCTTGAAACATTTGAAAGGGGCATTGGAATGCAACTGAAACTCAACTCCAGTCTGTCGCAGCCCTCCCCAGGCTGGACGGGACAGGGATGAGCTTTATGCATTCGCTTATACTTGTTTATTAGTGACGCAGTTTGACTGACATCCATTTTTGGATGTCGTACTGCGATGAAACGCGACCGCCTAGTGTCGCATTGGCACCCTACGTACCCAAACACATACTGTCAAGGGTACGGAGACAGCCCTGTAGGTTGCCCAGTGCAACTGGGCCTTTTTTGATGTGTCACATGCGCTGATAGCCGAGTCAGCCGTACAGAGCCGCGGGAAACGGGCCCTGCGCCCGAGAGGCCTCCGCCTAAGACCCCTGCGGCCCGGAAGGCTTGCGCACGGCGTGCTAGGAAAGTCTGACCCCCGCCGGCGGTGCAGACCTGTTCGAGGCACCATGGCCAACCTTCTGAACGTTGCGGTTCCGGATGGGATGCTCGGGGGAGCTGGAGGGGATGGTCCTGTCTGGATCCCACGGGCCAATGGCCTCACTGCCGACCGCCAGAGGGAGCTTCGGAACGCGGTGGAGGGCCCGCTTGGCGTCCCGCTCAACTGGCTAGCCGCCCAGGGTTCCGGCTTGCCGGAGTTCTGGTTGAGGACGGCTTGCGAGTGGACATGGCGCTGGCGACTCCGCCGAACGACGCAGGCGATGCAACTCCAGCTGGAAGCTCGCGTCGTGTCCGCGGTGCCAACGAGGCGGTGGGCCTTTGGCCTCCGCCAAATGGTACGTATGAGGTACCAAACAAACCGGCGAGCGTGGACTCCGACCACGTCGCTGGCCTGGACTGCGGCGGAGTTTGACCGGCCTTATCGAAGACCGAAGGCGTTTGGCTGGCCTGGAGAAGGCGCACCGTTTGCGCCGGCGGAGGGGAGTGGTGGTGCGCCATTAACGTGGCTGCTGCGCTGCGAAACGACGGAGTGGGAGGTGCTTTCTGCGTCACGGTTTCACGCCTGTGTCCGAATTGAGGGTACCCTTCGCCTGGTGGACTATGAGGAAAGCGGGTGGATGTCCGATGCGTTGAGCAAGAGAGAGGCTAAGGATGAAGAACACGCACGGAAAAGGGCTGCTAGGGCTACGTTGCCCTCGGAGTGGCCGCTGTTATACCGAGAGCGTGTTAACCGGCGTGTGGAGCTAGGCGAGGAACCGGAGGAAGCCCACCGTAGCGAAGCCTACGCGTGGGGCAGTGGGTGGATAAGGCAGCCTGGGGACACCGCTTACTATGGCACCCCTGGCTGTCCGGTTTGCTCGCGAGACACACCGTGCGAGCTGTGCGAGTACGCGAGGGAACGAAGGGTGTCGCCGGGGGGGTTGGTGACTACGGGGCCGGCCTGGATGGAGGGCGAGGTCACGGAACCATGGGGAGGACGCGAGTGGGAGCTGCACCAACTCGTGCGCTACGGCCTCCTCGATTGCGTCGAGGATCCGGAGGCCGAGGGGCTGGCTGGCGGAGACGGTGGAGGCGACGTGGGCGGCGACGCGCCGGCCCCGGGCGCGGGAGGCGAGGCGTTGGCGGACGGCGAGGCGGGGAGTACGACGGGAGCGGCGGAGGGGCACCCTGGCGGGGTGCAGGAGGTCGAGATGCAGGACGCCGATGACGACACCGCGTTTGTCGTCGTCGACGGAGGAAGCTACCCGGCATGCGGAAAAGTAATGGACGAAGAATGGACATTCGTGCGGAGGACATGAGGGGCTGGAAACTGGGGGGAAGTGGCAGGACCATTCCCTTGCAAGATGCCAATCATAAAGGTTGACTGAAAAGGGTTAGTAATCGGCGCTCTGTACTTAATAAAGAATGTTGTGAGGGGTCTTTGAGCCAATAGAGCCTTTTGGTGGTTGGGTGGCTCAGTAAGATGATACTAGTGAGCTGAACCGTAAAGTGTGACTGAGCTACAGTACTTTGTTCGTGTTTCAAAGTGATCTGGAGGGAATATTCGAGTAGTTGGGGGAATCTAGGCAACTAGGGTGAAGTTGCGCTCAATTGGTGAGCCAATAGACCCTAGATTGTTAAGTAAAGGGATTTCATTTGAGTATATTGATCTGAACGGTGAAAAGGGATGGAGCCAACTGAATTGTGTGATGTTTTGTGATCCGTTTGAGGGAAGGAATATTCCAGGGAATATTCCTAGAATATTCTTAGAAGAGGTACAACCACTCGGACTATAAATAGGGGAGCGGCGCCCCTATTGTCGCCAGCCGAACTGACCAGTTGGTGGTCCCAAGGGACCAACCAGGACATTTCTTGTAATAAGCATTTAATTGGTCAAAATTTGAGTGCAGGTCACAACCCGTGGAGGGTTGTTCGGTGTGTGTGTGTGAGTGTGTGTGGGCGAGCTGTGAGTAACAAAAGGCTCCATTACGTCAGTGCTTTAATACACTCAAAACGTGTCCTATTGGGAACGCCTGCGGGGCCCCAAGCGCGTCTAGAGTGTTGCTATTTTTAGTGTGTCCTATTGGGAACGCCTGCGGGGCCCCAAGCGCACTTTAATAGTAATTGCACATAACGTAATAGACTGGGAAGCCTACGGGGCCCCAGAAAAACACCCTCAGAGAAATCTGGGGTGCTGAGCTATAGTTATCTTACAGTACAATCACGCATTACTAAAGTATACAATACGGCTGGGCGTTTACAACCTTGAGCTGTGCTCCCAAGACAGCTGCTGTATTTTGGAGGTGACTAAAGGTGATTAGAAGTGAAAGTTCGTTGAGCTGCAAACTAATCTACATTCGATTGAACCTGAAGCGGCTGAAAGTGAATAGACAGGAAGGTAAGTAGTTAAGATAAGGGAAAGTTGAGTGGATTCCGCGCTTAATCAAGGCCAGCTCGCAGCTGACAAAGTACTGCCTCAGTGAGGTCCAGTACTGGAAGGAGGCAAAGGCTGGTGAAAGTGTGAGTTCGTTACAGAATTGAGAACATACAAATGCCCCACTCATTGTCACTTGGATCCTGACCAATGAAAGACCAAGAGGCATGAGTCAAGTTGAAAAAAACGCTGTCGAATCCAGCAGTACTCCCCTAGTGCTGACGCCCGCCTCTAAGCCCAGTACTGTAGTGTGCCCTCCTGCTCCTGTGAAAGATAACCTGCAGAAAAACATACAGGAAGATCAAAGACAATCATTGACAAGGGGCCAGGCTTGCCAGCTGCGGAAGAGCTGGAAAGAACTGTCTGAGAAAGTCTTCGAGAACTAGCTCGACTGAAAAGCATTACGCTTTTATCTTAAGTGACAGGAAAACTGGACATTAAGATATACGGTGATGATGTTCTGGTGTCTTTAGGCACTGCACATAGACAAGGTACCAGCCCGAAGGAATGGCTGGACAAGTTCATTGACTTCGACCAGCTGTCGAAGTTCTGGAAGGTTGTGGGTGATCTACTCCTGACATTGCTCAGTGTAAACCTGTTCGCTAGCAGTCATATCCTCACCGCACGTCTTATCAGATCATTTCTGAAGGTGTGCAATCGGTATTGGCGTGATCTGTCATCCTTTATGCGTGGCGAAGGGTTGCAGCTGGCGGGTATAGCCAGGGAGCTTACCCGCATTAAAGGACAGCTCAGTTTTCTGTGGAATTCTGAGCGTATTCGGCGTAATCAGGCCGGACAGGAAAGGAACGTAGCTCCTGTCACATCACAGCCCGTAACCAGCGTGATTGCTGGTCCAGTCTCGAGTCCAGTTTGTTTCCAGCTGATCTGTGTTTTCGCAGCCGGAATAGCAGTGGGTTGTTGTGTGTCTCTGGGATCCCTTTGTCTGGGGATCTGGATTGGACACTCTTTCTAGAAAATACAAACGTGGCCGTGACTCACCAGCCATATTTGGCAGTCACACGCGATGGCCATTCAACACATCTCAAATTTACGACTGCACGCATTGCATGCCGCTCCAGGCGGGCACGTATCTCGGGAAATGTCTCTGGCCAATGGGCGCATCCTGCACAGCATCATAGTCAGGGATGGTTCAAGGCGTGTCCAAGTTGTGCCGGAGATCCATGACGCTGCGGGCCATTCTACCTTCGCTGCTAAGATCTGAGACCACAGCTCCAGCCCGACGATAGGTATCGCGATGGTCGTGAGCATGAAGCCCTTGGGGGCACGGGCGCACCAGGCGGCCACCCCGCTTCTTGCAAGGGTGCTGGACAGCCAGGTGCGAAATGCAGTTCCTTGGTCGGCAATCAAGCCAGTCATGGCCAGAGCTTGCGTTGTACCAATCGCCTGACTTAGGATGTTGTGCAGATATCCAGTTCGTGGGAAGGGGTATTCCCCTTTTTCCCCATTGGAGTGTGCATGGTGGCCACGTTGGGAGGGCTTTGTAGTGGGTGGGATGAGTGAGATGGGGGGCGGTGGGTTTCTCAAGGCGTGTTTAAAACCCGGCAAAAGAGATCATACAATGAAGCAATCCCTCCTGAGCGGACATACAGCAGGCCATGCATCCATTGCAAACCCATACTCTGTAGTGAGCGGAAGGGAGGCCACATTCTGCGATGTGTCGTGTCAGGGAGGAACAAGGGACTGACTGGCTTCCTTGTGTCTGTTAAAATGCAGCGTCCGTGCCGTCAAGGAGTTTTCAGAGCTCTGCCAAAGGTGGGGCGATAGAAAATGCATCACATTGCAAAGAATGGGTGCTTCTGCCTTGAACCTTCCAGATGCTATGCAGTTTTTGGGGCTCATGTGTAGAGGCAGCCTGGCAGGAGATCATGTTGGGAAATGAGGGCGTGGCTCAAGCAAAAAGTCATTTGTCGAGCAGGTTTGCTTCACAGTCCCTTTAAGGAACTGTGAGTTAGTACACCAAATCAAAGGAGGGTGTGGGCAGTTGCACCCTTGGTTTCAACCTGAACAAGCAGTCCATTGCACCTTCACCTCTTGTGCTGTATTCGAATGATTTGTGCACAGCAATGGACACTACTTGTGACTTTTGTCTGTATGTTCTGCAATAAGTTCTGCAATTTGTGCCCCTGGATACTTTTTCTTCATGCACTGGATGCCTATGAGTTGGCAGCTTTTGACTGGGCATCCTCAGGGTGCATAGGTTCCTTGCCGCATTCAGCCAGTCAAACCATCCCGCTGGGGAGCAAAGGCTGAAGGGGATGAGGCTGGTGGTGAAGCGGACACTTCCACACCCACTCCCTTGAAGCCAGCTGAATCTACGCCTCCTGTGCAGCAGCCCTTGCCAGCTACAGCTTCTGAAGCCAATGAACCAGAAGGCCCAAACTACGTGGCGTGGATAGGCACCTTGCTCACTGTGATTGGCATTTTCTACGTTGCAGTGTTCTATGCTGGTGCAGGTGACGATGAGCAGTGCATGCAGCTGAGCCCCTGGTCAGGAGTGTGTGCATGCTGTCCCCTGTTTTGGGATTGGACAGGCGCACAACTGTAAATGCATATTGCACATCTGGCCTGTGTTCACAAGTATTCATAGTGTTTAAATCCTGAAATCTCATTTCCCTCACCTGGGCCAACATGACTGGGTGTGCGTGCATGGCCATGTGTCCATTGTACTCGCCCAAGTGGAATGATGGGATGGCACAAAGAAAGGTTCCTCCTGCTTTTGCAGCTGGGCCCTTCCCTGGTCCATGCTTGCCATTAACAAGCAACAATATTTCGCTAAGTGTTCTGCTTTTGGAGGCAAATTCCCGAAGTGGGCACAACTTTTTCCACTCTTTTCGTTTCCCAGGAAGTCGCTTTTCTGTCACTGATTGCTGTGCTGTCAGATGTCTTTGTTGATATCCATCTTGTGTTCCTCTAGAGTTGGTGTGGTGCGCCACACTGATTTTTACGATTGCTGATGTGTCTGCTTTGTAGGTCTCTTTTCCTTGCTGGCAGAGAATGTGGACTTCAAACGGAAGGACTTCGTTCCTTATTCAGAGCGTATGAAAGCAGAGGAAGAGTTGAGGCTACGTGAAGGGCAGTCAATGCAATCAGTGTCTGCTCCTGAACCTGGGGATGTCGCCACAGAGCAAGCATCTTCTGAGGACTGAAACTGCTTGTCGCAAAACGGCGTGTCGGCGTGAAAAGAATGTGGCCAAGGACTGTTGCCACAAGGGATCCACATAAACATTGCAGTACGGCCTTCGTTGCGCCAGGCCTTGCATGTAGTTCAGTGCATGTTAGCACCAATTGCACACACGGACTTTTATCACATGGCAGGCTGCAGGGAACGAAAGCGTCATCGAGCCAACAGGGATGGATGACTGTGTGCAGAAGAGAAGGGAACTCGGATCCTCCCTCAGCTCTTTCGATAAGGATGTCGAATTTAGACTGAGGCGAATTCCTTGTTCCAGCGCTCGAAACGAGTGACGTCCATCATCGATACCGACGGTTGTGTGTTCTTCAGTGCCTTTTCGAAGTCGTCCATGGCGAGTTGAACATCCAGTAGGCCTTGGTCCCTCATTTCTTTTATCTGCAATGGGCTCTTGTCAGAAATGAGCCGCCTCATTGGCATCATGGCGGCCTCTCTACAGACCAGCCGCACGTCAGCCCCGCTGTGGCCGGCCATGCTTTCAGCGAGCTTCCGGAGGTCCACAGAAGCAGCGCGCTTCACACCCTGGAAGATGAGTGGTGAAGCAAGATGATATTCTTCCAGGCAGACGTCACGCCAGCGCTGCGCGTTGTTGATACAGAACGGGTTGCCACGCGTAAAATCCTTTCGTTGTCAGCACGACACCTAAAAGAGCGAGCTTCTCAAAACTTGCGATGCCATTGGATTCTGAAGGGTAGAATTCCGGCCGCGTTGTGGTATCGCGACGCAATTATCTTCCAATGGCTGTTCCAGAATCGCCGTCTTGTCACGCTGGTGGCCGCCACTGGAAGGTGCCCATGGCGTCTCAACATGTTTTAAGGCTGGCGCATCTTGCGGCGTCAGTACGGGACACGCAGCATAGCAGGCCTTCCCAGGCTTGGGGATTCCTTGCCGGCGCGACCGCCTAAGGGTATGGTTGATGCGATGTACAATTGCACACCAATTCGCAGCGTCGGATTGTGCCGATGCCATCACCAAGCCGGCGAACTGCATCTGCTGCTATGGCCCTAAATGCAGCGACAACGCTGTTGACGTGCGCAGGTGACGCCGATAACGATTGGCTATGTAGGTGTTGGCTATGGCTATAGGCCATGTAAGCAGAAAGCCCGACAGCGCTGCCTCTACCTTCAAATTGATTTCCAACATTCGTTCCCTGGCCTTGTGGTCCGGTAGCGGTATGTAGATTCGCTTCTCCAGGCGCCGCCTCATGGCTTCATCGAGGTCCCAGGGGCAGTTTGTGGTCGCCAGCACCATGGTGTTCTTTCCCGGCTCCCTGGTTGTGGCGACGCCATCCATCTGCATCAGAAATAGCGCCTTCGGGATCAGTGCAGCGTGGGCGCCACGTTGCCGGGGCCTTCCGGCTGTACAGCGCTTCCCGCAGTGGCAGACCTGCATTTATTGATGGCTCAATGCGCTGCGGCGCGTGGCTTTCGTCGCGACACAGCGAGAACGCCTTCTTTCTGTCTTCGCAAGCCGTGTGCTTCAGGTGAACGACACATTATATCGAATTTGGTGGGATTTAATGCAACACTAGCTTAGCGCCAATTCGAAGCCAAGCTCAGACCCCCCACCCCTTCACACCCAAACTCCCCCAGCGCCGCAGTGTGAATTGGGCCCCAAGCGCGCTAACACTTTCGGTGCGGTCCCCTCATGAAAAGGTTTCGAGTTTGTGGACACACCGCAAGTTCACACAATTGCAGTGAGCGTCAAATTTGCGTTCCTGCCCTTTCCGGACCCGCACGGAAGCGGGGATTGCCATCGCCATGACGTTATTGGTCACACTCGCTGTATGCTCTTCGGTGATTTATTTGCTTCTTTATTTTCCCTGAAGCATCCACGCTGGTGCAGACTGTTGTGAGCCACATTGTGTCGTGCAACACGGAGAGTGTGTACACACTGACAACTTCATCGACACATCAACGCTGTCTGTTCATGGGGGAGATGCCGCACTTATTGCATGCGTTTCTTCTCTCTAGAGATCGTGGGCGTCGCGGCGGATGTGTCATTGCTTGTGTGGTGATGCACACGATCCATAGTAGACCCGGAAATAGGTAGTCTATTGGAGAGCATCCTACGAGGCTAAAACTTCCAACGCTAGTAGCGCAAGTACGTTGAGACCTTCGCCGCTTTGCCATTCCGAGGTGTAACCGAAGCAATGCGACCTTGTCTCGGCGAAATGTACTTCATAGGTACTATTGACTCAGTAGTATTGAGAGCAGCAATAGTATTGAGTGCAGCAGTCAGAAGTTTCCTTCCCAGAGGCATAAAATCATCGACCTGCCACTGGTGCATCAGGATATCCCAAGGATGCATCAGGAAACCCCAATACCCTGCCGTCCCGACCTGCTGCAAAAGCTCGCTCTTGAACCGGCGGCTGGCTTCATGCTCACTGTCCGATCCTCGGGTGCTAGCAAGGGCATCTACCTCATCAAAGAATATGATGGACGGTGCGTAGTGCCTCGCCATGCTGAACAGCACGCGGACCAGCTTCTCGGATTCGCCCCGCCATTTGGACGTGAGAGTTGCGGAACTGCAGTTGAAGAACCTGATGTTGTGCATATTTGCAAGCGCCTTGGCGAGCAGCGTCTTTCCCGTTCCTGGCGGTCCAAACAAGAGAACGCCCCTCCAGGGCTCCCTGATACCTTCGATGGCGGCATTCACGTCTTCAGCATGGACAGGCACCGCAAGGGGCCGGCAACCACACAGGGTGGAAGTAGTGTTTAAATGGCAAAGCATATTGCCATTGAATTAGTTCAGGCCTGGTTGTGCCGTTTCCGCCTTTTGAAAGTATCACGTAATGATTCTGATGCACCTTGAGAGACAGTATTTGCCGACAACAAGCCTCTCAGCATTTTTGACATGAGCGCATGACATTCACGAACTGCTCAAGCACCATTCGCGACTCGTTTAAACATCAAACCCAAACTGTGAAGGCAAAGCTCTGGCGGTGTTGTGGGAGCAGATGTGCACCGTTTGCGTGGGTGCTCTATGTTCGCAGCGGCATGATATATCATGTGGCTGCGCAAGTAAGGTACATACAAAAAGGGCAACGATGAAGGTGTGAATTAAAAATTATGGTTAGGTGTTATATCCCCTGGTATAGATGTTGAATAATAAAGTACGTATATCTGTACGTTGTTGGAACTATGACGGTGTGTTCCGTGCTTGCATCGGTTGTCAAGGGAACCAACCTGTGAAAAATTCTGGCATTATGAGGGGAAGAGTCACAGCTTCATCCAGCAGCCGCTTCGCATTGTCCAAACTGGCGATGTCGTCAAACAATACCCCCAAGTCAGACTCCAAGATGTCCATTTCAATCATCTTCACCAAGTGGGGCTCATCGCCGGTGTACGGTATTTGTGTCCTCATCGGAAGGCATGACCGCGACCCAGCGGCCTCCTCCAATAACCAATTTCTGAATTCAAGCCTGGACTTTGCCACTCCTAGACCTAGGGGACCAGAAACAGGGGTGCCAGGACCAACCTCAAAGTTGGCGAGAAGACATTTGCCATCGCACCATACAGCGATTTTGTTGCCCTGTCCGCACTCCACTCGGCAGGAGTGAAACACGCCTGGCCTCAAGTCCCTGACTGAGCGGAAAGCACACGCCAGGCTCCCATTATTCCAGCGCCATGGGATACTGGAAGCAGGAGAGCGTCGACGACGTACCCAGGACGCTTCAGGATGTATGCTTATCGCCAATGGCTACTGGTATCCGGTGTTTGGCGGGAGCAGCCGCACACACGATGTTCACTAATCTAAAGGAGAGTTAGGCACCAATGCGACCGCTGCCGTATGATGGATATATGTTTCGATACACCTGCCGGCTGGTATGCCACTGTTGCAGTTCGGTGATGTCGAAATGTCTTGAATACCAAGACTGCTCCCATGAAGCCAATGCCAGAGCCTACACTCGGCGACAGGAGTATCGCGCGTACAGTTGTGGTATTCCGTCACGACATATGCGCGCGGTGATCGCGAAGCGATCGGTGATGATTGTTGAGACTGAGAATTTGAAAAAATGGAAACCTAAATCACGGGCTTGACAGCCTCGTCACATACATTCAGAAACAACGCCAACGCTTTGTCTGCAGGGGAACTCAAGTCAACGTTCCCGTTGCTCCATAGCCATTATCGGCTGCCATTGGATAATATTATCTACTGTGGGGCTCACCCTACTGCTGAATTGCTGCAGCTCCAGTGTCTCAAAGAGCAACAACACTCAGGGCAGTGCATATTGGCTGTTAAAAATCGGAGTTTTGGACCCAGGACACGCACCAATCAAGCCACAAACGCTTCTACTCCCACCTGTGGGGCACCCTGTATAGGGTAGTCAGGTTACCGGCGGTACTCCGGTGAACAGATAGGAATCTGTCGTGGCAGTCCACGTGGATCGCCGTGAAGTTAAGGGAGCCGCTGCTGTCTGCCTGGGATGCCAGCACCAGGTCGAAGGCCGGGACGTTTCCACTCGCGGGCGCCGCATGATTACACCTAAATTCGAAGCGAAGTTTGTAGTCGTGGGAATTTTCGGGCTGATGAGAGGGGCCGATGATGCAAATTTCCTCCTGGAGATGTCACATCGTGGCAGTGAATGGAGAGAATCGGTCTGGCGCGAAGCGATACCGCTGATGAGCCACCTTGCTGATTTCGAATGAACACAATCAAAGACTCTGAAATCCGGAATGGCCATCGATCTGCCAAATCAATCTGGAATACGAATGAAGATTTTTGAGTGATATAAGATTTGCAGCGCTTCCGCACTGCGCAGCGTTAGCCATACACGCGCCACTGACGCAGATTCACCCATCCAATATGGTTCCTAATGCGGCAGAAATGGGCTGCCTTCTCGGCAAGCAGTCCTGGCACGCGGTAGATCCGCTATGCGCTATTTTTTCGCAAGCGCTGCCATTGGCGTTGCTAATGCGGTGCGCCAGGGGCCCGTTTGCCCTAAAGTGCGTGAAATTCCACATTGTTGCAAAGAGGCTGAGGAACTTCAACACAGCGGGGTCAAGCTAACCTGCGTGTTTTCGACGTGCCCCTTGAATGCGCCTTCGCATTCCTTCGTGTGGTATGAGCCCAGTCCTACAATGCGGCTCCACGATTCCTGCAATCCTGCAGACCTATCGCTTGCACAGGTTTTCGGTCTGCTGTCAGACAGCTCCACAGCCCCACTGGTTTCCGAAGCAGGGGTTTCTCCGAGGGAGGTCTCGTTCCTTGCCACCTGAGGATTTCTGATTTTGCAACATGGCCTGTGTGGCAGTCAAACGAAGTTCGTTGCAGCATTTCACGGCATGTTGCATGGCTTAAATGCGGTCAATGCGCAGATGCGTCTGCAGGCACAGTAACGCGAGATTTCGAGCACGATGCCAATTCGATAACTCATGGTACTGAACGCAGTCCCAACAGCACGCACAAGCGCACCCGCAGTCGAACTGTGTCAATTAGATGCAACAAATCTCTGAGCTTCCTTGCAAATCCTGAACAATTCAGGTGAAAACCAGATTCAACCATCTCTTCCGATTTGAAGGGCATTGCTTTGTAATGCAGTCCCGCCACAGTAACGACTGACCTAAAGCTATTGTTACAGTTCTGTGATGATGGACTGCAAATGGCAGTTGCACATTACTTAGCTATAGGCCCATCATGTCTCTGCGACAGGTTGTCAGAAGCCCTTTGCAAGATGGTGAGCACCGGGGAGACGTACAGGAAACAAATGATTTGTACATGCTGATCGACGTTTCCAATCCATGTGCAAGCATTGCAAGCACAACCAAGAAAATGGTTCAAACATTGGCGCAGAGTTTAGCTACCAATGGTAGGTAAGCAGAGCATTGTTGCAAGCAACTCTAAAAGGGATAAAAATTGTACATAGCATTCAACTTACCATATCCATCTCATGGTAAGTTGGACGGTAGCAACATATTGAAACCTATCAGTGGAGTCCACTCACTTCCATTCAACATGGAAAATGAGATTGCAGCGCAGGATATCAGATTCTTTTAACTGGTGTGTTCGTTCCTAAGCTGGTTTAATGGCATTGCTCACGTGCAAAGGAAACGTGAGTGCGCACGACAACAACGCTGCAATACAGCATTTCCAATACAAAACGCCAACACGCATTTTCCGGACCTGCTATTGTTGTTGCGTTTGGCCTTGCAATTTTCCAGAGCATTCGTCACAGCTGGAGCTATTCCAGAGCGCCTGAGCTCGTCGACGTGTCCATAGCCGTGCGCCCCTGTTGAGAGACGACGGCGGTATGTCCTCGGACAAACTGCGCGGGTGAAATTGTCCCCGCCAGTTGCCTACGCAATACAAGCAAAGGCTGTGCAGTCCGCTATAGCATTTTTTACTGCGACGTTACTTAAAACATCGAGTCAGACAAGATATGACTGGCTGCGCTGCGACGCAGTTGATTGCAGCACAGCAATATTATCCGTTCGTGAACGGAACCTGCGTTACTCGTTGCAATTGCGGCAGGTAAAGATTGCTCAAGATACCATTTGAATTCCAGGATAGTGTAACAATTGATGAAGCATTGCATTCAGCTGTCCATGGTCGGAAGCTCATTGATGGACTTATCCGAGGAAATGATGTCATTCGCTGATAATTCCCGTACATACACTTGCATGCGGCCAATATTCTGCAAAATTGACAAACACCGTGCGCCGCTTGGAAGCGTCTGGGCCATTTGGAGGTGGGGCATATTTCTCATTAGCTTGGCGAGGGGTCCTAGATGCATACCTGCCTGAACATCATTGGCAAAAGTGCGTTGGAAGAATTGGTCCTCGGAAAATTTTCTTATCACGAAAATGGGCATAGCCGCAGCGTATCCAGGATCTGTCCATATCCTGGATGCGCGCTTCCAGGTAATGGCGTACATTCGATATCCAGAATATACGCAAGGATAGACGGCTTTCCCCGCAAACCTCACCCACCCATATACAAAATCTGGGATCATTTTGGACAGTACATCTATAGCACTGTTGCGTGCCGCGACACACAGGATGATCTTGCAACGTTGCTGTTTCGTGTTAAAATATGCAGGATAGGAATTCTCTGTACTCCGATTAAAGAAATGCGAATCACGTCACAATCAGCGACGTTCAGACTGCTCAAACCAGTGCTAGGCACTGGTCCGAAAGCTAAAGCCAACAGGCTTGGCCACTGCATCCAATAGCCTTTTGGCCTTTAATTGCAATGCCCCGTTCAATTCGACAACAAAGAATGACATCCAATGACTTTGTGGTGGTTTGACGCCCCAGCGTTGCCCTTCGGCAGCAGCTTGTTGGAAAATGAATACATTCATACATGTTGGGTCCAGCGTGTCTTTATTCTGCAAGCCATGCCGTGGTGGTACACAATCACGAGTCTTTTGAACTGCACTAATAGTGCATACAAAGACATCTGAAATCATCCTGGTCAATGGGGAGTGGGCCAAGATGGTTCGCAATGGGAAGATGCGCCCACTTGCGTAGTTTCTATGTGTATTTCCTTATTCTGACCACATATTAGGTGGTTGGCACCTGGAAGTAGTCCAGCATTACATGAGAATTGACTAACATTGCTCACCCTTCCATGCAGCACAACGACTATGCGGTACCATACTCACTGGTAGAGAGCGCGATGAAGTTAGCCTGGTCGAGTGTTCTATGGAATGTCTTGAAGGGCTGGCAGATTGAATGCTGGCGTAGATGGCCTGAATACGGGCGAAGTACGTCAGTGTCCGATATCGCGCAAGAATGCAACGCTTTCTAAATGTCGACAAATTTCAATGCATCCCTCCCCATTGTCCTACGGGCATGGACTGCGATCAAGTCCATCAGCACCAGGATGTGCTTGAAGTGGTAGGAAGGTCATTTAACCATCGATGCAAAATGGCAGCAAAAGAATCAGAAATCGAGAATTAATTGGCAGCACCCGCTTCTGAAACGGATAATTTTTCTGCACAATGCTTGTATGGTACTACCATAACGGCAAAAGGTCACATGGTAATTGCTATTGTCAAGTTCAAAGGACCTTTCATTGGTGAGGCTCCTTGACAGTGCGGGCTATCCCAACTGGAGTGCAACGAGCCACTCTGCATCGTCCACCCATTTTCGTCTCCACAGTATTTGTATGATAATTCCATGACGTTGACTGCACAATTCTGACAGCACAAATACGTGCGCCGGCGCTCTATGGTAACGCCAGTTATTGGCATGAATCGCTACGGGATCCTTGCCACGGGAACGGAGTTATTCCTCCGCTGAGAGCAGCGGTAGAACTTGAATGTCAAGACCACATGCTCTCATGCAGGCGCTGTAATTCTGTTCCGATCTCCAATACTGCCCCGCAAGAGGAATATGATGCGCCGAGATCACTCCGGCCTCCTGTTTTTTTGGGGGCTGATGGGCTTGCGAACTGACACATTTGAAGGGACTGGCCGTGCCCGTGCAATTTATTGTTCGCAACTGCTGGCCATTTTCTGTGGCTCCTCGGGGAATGCAAGGTAAGCCCCTTCATGTCACACTGACGTGAACTGCGCCCAAATCCATCATGTATTCTTTGCATTTAGCTTTCCATCGCATTACTGTATTGCATTGGTCTTTGAATTGGCAAATAGTTTTCATGGTGTTATTTTATTGGGTTATGACGTTATTCGTATTAATATTCATCAGGTACTTACAGGTTAGAACTGCACTATGCAGACCGAGTTTGGACCAATTCTCTGGCCCCATGGTCTGGTGGCATGCATTCTTCTGGAGTGTCTGGACAAGTGTTTACATGACGAAAGCTGCAGGACTCTAAACTGCTGTATGTATTGCCATTTCTTGCTATGCTGTACAGCTTTTGCAAAACACAGCCAGTCTCAAAAACTGCCACACAAATCTTGAATCCACGACATCAATTGCATAGCTTCGGCATCCGACAACCTTTGCAGTCGCATGCATCTGCAGCCAAGGTATTGGGCCGTCAGAATGTCGGAGAAATACAAAATATCAGGGCAGACAACCAGATAGGAAGGACAGTAAGGAGGGCGAAAACAGCGGTGTGCCTTTCAAACAAACTTGACCACCCAAGGCGCCGCCTTGCACTCAAGAACGCGGTGTTTAATAAGTTTGACGTGATCGCTTCATATTTGCCCATTCGCGTCTGTTTTGTATTTTATCTGCTCACACGCGCCCACATCATGTCCACGTCCCCAAGCTCACTCCCGCCAGGCTGGCACGTCTGCTGCCCTCCAGCACACCTCAGCCGACCGAACGCGCCATTCACGACCTCGGGACACTGACCAAGCACTCGCCGGATCTCTCCGCGCCCCTCGCCAGCCGCAAGGCACAAGGGCCTCGTTACCGACGCCTTTTTCACAGCCGCAATCCGCGCAACTCCTCCCATCGGAGAAGCTGCCGGGGCGGGGCCTGACCAACCTGCTGCATCTGCGGATCGCTGTCCATGCTGCCTCGGGCTGGCGCCGGTCGGCGGTGCCAACTCGGCGGACCATCAGGGGCCCCAGCCGCCCCGCCGCCTGCCCGCTCCCTTTTCCCCCACCCGGTCAGGAGAACTTCGCGCGGCGGCCAACTCCAGCCAGGTACCCCCCTGCTCGGCCAACCAGCAAAAAAGTCGATTTTGGCGGCCTGACACGCCAGCAGGGGCGCACCCGGGCCGGTGCGTGCCCGGGCTGGCTTCGCTCAAGTTGCCGACCAAGTTCCGAAAAGCCATCCGGTCCGCCCCGCCTGCGCCCCCCTCCGCTGCCATGGCCGCTCCCTCGGGCGCCACGGACGGAGAGCTGGAGGGCGTGACGGCCAAGCTGGCGGGCCAGCGCCTGGCATGCGACGCGCGTGCGGCCGCCAAAGGGGGGGTGGAAGAGTGTGGGGCTTCCGGGAGCGCTGGCCGGCCGCAAGAACCGCAAATTGGTGCGCGTTGCGTCCCGACCGCGGTGCTCCGGCGCCCTCTCTTTCTTGCCGGCGGATTGCGAGGCGCGAAGGGAGGGGTCGGGGTGAATTCGGTGCCGGATGTGCGGGGTTATTGCAAGGCCATCTGGAATGGGGGTCCGGATTTCGTGTTTGCTGTGCGCGCTTGCTCGCGAGGCCGCTGGCATGGGTGCGCGCCCCACCATTGTCTGTGGGCTTGTAGCGAAGTGGGCCCGGACTTTGATGCGAGGCACGGGGGGTGCTTACCTTACCGGTGATGGTGGTCGCCGGCCCCTGCGTTTCTTCCCGTTTGGCCTGTTTGTGCGGCGTGTTGTTGCACATGGAGACCTCTACATCGCGTTTTGTCGCATGGAAGAGATCCGCACAAGAGCTCATGCGCAAGAATGGGCTGCGCACTGCGCGGCAAGCTTTATCTGTTAAGAAGGCGACAAACTGAACCCGGTGCTTGCCATATCTTTGGACGGGGTGTGCCACTCTGCCCTGTCCCACATGTGGAGCTCTCTCCCTCTGGGCCTTGGAAAAGACGAGTGCAGGAACAAATCTCCATGTCCCCTCGGGTTATCTGCGCAGATGGGAAACACGCGTCGGATGCCGAGTCAGGAGAGGAGGATGACTGGGAGACACAGCTGGAGCAAGGCGCCCTGAAGCAGAGTTTTGGTGTGTGCTGCTGTGACTGTGTTTCTGCTGTTGTGCAGCCCATATGGAGTGTCACCGTCACAAAACGTTACCGCTTTGTACCCTGCAGTAGATCACCAAGTAGGGCTACGCACAGGAAACCCAAGCCATGTATGGGGCCTGAGCTGTTCACACTGTGATGGGGTGTAAGTTGTACGCAAATTGAAAGTGTGGTCCAAGGCCCACAGTCTTGATGACAGCACGTCCAGCAGGCGCGGCGGAGTCTCGTCACTTCGATTGGTCCCTTTCCTCTCCGGCGGTCGTCCTGTTGTGATAGTCCTCAATTGTTTAATTTCCACACTGGATTGGATGCAATGCACTCACAAGAAAGCAGTCTGTTATGCTGTAGACCGTGGATTGCTGTGCTGACAGTGCATGGCTGCTACGGTCATCCCTATCATGCTGCCTTGATGACGTTTGCTTGCATGAATTGGTGCTGTTCCGTCCTGTTGCATCCGTTGCAGGCACTGTTCAGGGTGTGGGTGGTGAACATGAACTGGGGCAACACCGAAACGTTCCAAGGTGGTCGGACGTCATCCTTGGAGAAGATGAAGAACTTGAAACAGGTGAAGATTGAGTAGTTTCGGAAGCCTTCAATGGAAATGGTCCCCAATCGGCACTTGTGAGTTAGAAATTATTCTTCATTGAACAGACACTCGCAGTTGTGAACAGCGCCCGACATCACCTGACACCAGGTGCAGTCGTGTTCCTTTGTCTTGCTTCAACAAATGAAATGGAAGTTGGGTCTACAATTGGGTTTTGTGCAATACCCATGCCGTGGCTGGGGGTAGAGGAGGGGTGCGTTGAGGTGCTGTTATTTTCCAAGCAGGGGTGGGGTGAAATGAAAGAGAGTGCAGGCACATATTGTCCAAACTGAGGAGAATGCTGCCAGTCTGACTACGTGCATGCCCTGTTCAGAGCCGGGGCCAGCCTGTGATCCCAGCAAGCCGAGGCCACGAACGACCACAGCTGTTGCTCGCCGCCTCCTTGCTCATGCTCTGAACAAGCCTGGTAAACTGTTATGGAAGTGCGGGTGTCTGGGTGCGGTAGGGGCTGCCACCGCCTTCGGGATCGATTGTGTGTGCTTGGCTCAGATGAGGTTGCTCTGCACTATCAGTTTTGCTTTGATAGGGAAATGTCGTGCGCTTGACCTGCACCTGGAGAATGTGTGGCTCATTGGCACACTGTGAGACAGTAACCTACGAGCCTTGACTGCATCAGGAATTGTACACCAGAGTAACGTTGCTTTTTCCAAGTGTGCAAGGTTTGCCCAGTTCCCCAAGTTGTGCCCAATACAATTCCTCAGAATGTGTGTAGTTTGGGCAGGGTATCAGTTCAACACTGCTTGCGCTCGGTGATGCTATGATGCACTAGGAATAACGCGCTGGTTTGTATCTCCAGAGTTAATCGCACGAGGCGAGGAGCGGGAGCTCCAGGTGCTGCGAGACCGCAACAAGCAAGCAAGAAAGGACCGCAGAGAGCAGTTGGACTCGGTCTGGGGGGAGAATTAAATAGTGCTGGCTGTGTGGTACATAGAGCTAGAACAAGCAACATATGTCCATTCATTTTTAGGGCATTGTTTATATTTTCTCGGGGTTCTGTATGTGTAACAGCGGGGAACCCAAAGCTGCCATTCGCCTCAGCGTCCCTTTGCAATGTCGGCTCACAAGAGATTGCAGCAGGCTTGCATGCACAATCCTTCGGCGGATTCTAGAAGCGCACTGGCCTTTCTGACGCCATTCGAAGTTGCAAATCATGCAGCTGCTGGTGCCAGGGCTGCAGCCTGCGTCAAACATGCAACCTACAACAACAGCCAAACTAACGCCGCTCGTACGCATCTGCCAGAAGGATTGCCTTCACATGCGCACGAGCTAACCAATATTCTTGGCAAGGGCGTGGCAGGTGCAGCAAGAAAACGGCCCAAACAACTGTGAGGCACTTGTGCTACTCTCGACCATCCTGCAAAAGACCAGCGGACAGTCGTCGAATGGCTGAAAATGTACACTGGCCCCGCAACATCCAGCTCAGTGCGGCTCCAACGGAGGTCTTACCAGTCAGGGGTGGCACAAATTTTGACAAGCGTGGAAACGATTCAGTATGGCAGTCCTTGGATACAATATGCCAGAATACGGGACCTGGTATGGGCCGGGGGCCAGCAACGCAAGGCAGCTCATCTGGGCAGGGCAGATGCCGAATGGTGCGGTCTGTTCTGCTGCTTCCGTCTCGCCTATCCTTCGAAGAATACCACTCCCTACCGTACATGGACTGCATTGGCCCAAAGTCGAAAAGGGAGACAACGACAGCAACACTGAAGAGTAGTTGTGATTGTGAGCGCCCAGACTTGGGGGACATGTCGGCCTCGATTTCGTTTGTAAAAACACGACCTGCCACGGCATCCCGGCATTTTGCATCATCGACATGGGCGAGAACCCTACATACTGTTGCCCTGGCCTACTTAGCACTTCAACAGAATTCCTGATCCACATACTGTGCACATAGGCATTTGAACGCGTCAACCGTGGAGGTCCGCGCACTTCGCGACGCGAAGGCAGTGCCCTTGAAGGGCAGCCCTTCCATCTGTATGTCAACGGATGTGCTTTGTACAAGAGCACTATTACCAGGAGCACGTCGATCCAAGCTGACTCTCAACCGGGCGTCAAATTGACATTGTCAAGCACACTGGACTTTTGAACATCTTGAATAGATGGAATTCTGTTTTGTTCCATCCAACCTATCCTTGTCGGGCTGTCTAGAATGCAACGATATCATGATCCGAATCGCGACGGTGGTCCACATCCGAAAACACACCTTGGCCCAGAAACAAGCCTATATTGTGAGCCGCTTCTCCACAGGGGAATTATAGAATTAGCATCATGTTGGACGCAACGTCGGAAAATCCAGCAACCACAATGTCACATACAGGGCATCGAGATACAAGATGACGCTGCAGCGGTTTCCAGTCGTTGAACGTCGAATTGACGGGAAGAGGTGGTATGTGTGCGTGTGTGTAAGTGGGGGGTGGGGGGGTGGAGGAGGAGGAATGTAATTCTAGGCGAGAAAGAGCCTGGCGTGCGAATGAAAGAATCTTGGATGACGGTGGTATTCGACTGGCGGGATTTTCACTGCTGTGCATTCGTCTCTGACCTTCGCCAAAATTTTGGCCATTGAATACAAGTTTTGTGGCCGGTGTTCCAGCCGCGTTCAATGGGACTAGGTCGTGTATTTGAAGCTAATGCAGTGCTGAAGGAGGGCCCGAGAGCACTTTCTCGACCACCAATCAAAATGGCACCAAAAATGAGGTTAGGATAGCACGACTGGTTTCCATGTTAACATCGAGACCGCCAACAATCGGAAAACCGGTTCTGTCAAGAGTTCCATCACGAAAACCACCTGCAGGAATGCCCATCAAATGTAGATTTGCCGGCAATGCTCCAACTCCTGACATCCCCAACGGTCACAGGTCCTTTATCTCGCAGGCACCAGCTCGAAAAGCAATCGTCGCTGTTATGAAAGAATATGAGAAATTCGGTGTCCAAGAATCCTGTGAGGTGACTCTGGTGGAAACTGCCGGCCCCTTGGCAATGTTGGACGTGCTGGCCCCCCAAATTGTACTTTAACGTGGACCAGGGGACCTGTGCAGCATCGGCACATGTTCAAGGAGGGACCAGGTTGGATTTAGATGGTTGCCCTTGCCGGGGCTTCGCCAGGTGGCTGGTTAGCTTCCCTGCTTAAGGACCCCTTCCCCCTGCGCACGCGTGCTTCGAGGAGAGCCCAGCGGTTGGCGCCTGCCTTGCTTTGCTCCCACCCTCCCATCCCTTGTACCCTTCCAGCCTGAGCTGAAATTGCCCATCATGCGAAATGTAAAATGCACTGGGCTTTTTGTGCTTTGGCTCAAAGTTGCAATGCTCTGGGCGGGCTAGGATGACGGTCGTGGGGTTTGCGTTGTAATGGGTGGTGGTGGACATCTGTTCAGGAAAAGTGGTAATGTTGTCGCCATTGCGTGAGCCAGGGGGAGAGCGGATCCCGTCAAGCAGAAACACGTGGGCGCTGTTGACGATTGGGCAGAAAACGCCAGAGAGGGTGGCATGACACCAATCTGTGCCGCCACACTACGTCGTGATACGGCAGCAGTCGAAGCTGCTGCTGATGATGATACGGCAATAGACGGGCAAAACATCCTGCCATTTTCTCCACCGCGTTCTTTTGGCCCCCTGCCGCGGGCCGTTGGCCTCCAAAGGGCAGCAGGAGTGCTTGCCAGCAGCCAGTAAAAACCTATTGGCGCCCCTTTTGAGATTCCGCGGTCCTCGACAGGGCGTGTCTTTAGGTGCTTCTTCGCGCCCGCTCCCACCGACGTGCGCCTGTGGGCGCGCCCGCGAGGGGGGCCAAAACCCATCGGCAACGCAGTCGCAGCGCAACAGCGAAATTCCAAGCTGGTTGGCTGGTTGGGCTGTTGCCGGGATCAGCACCGCGGGGGCTGGTCCACGAAGGGCGCCCATTGCCCAGCGGGGGGCTTGTGTGATTGTAGTATTTCGCCATTACTCTCCCGCTTCGTCCCGCTGTCGGTGCGTCGTATAATGTACAGTTGCCGGACGGCGTGGCGGCTTCCGGGGCTCAACTCTCCTCCATCTTGGGCCATTGGGAGATGGGGCCTTATCCACAAGGCGGAAAAGAGGGGTGGTGTCATGGCCTGCCCATCGGGCGTGGCCAACCGGCGAATCCCCATCTGCCGATCAACGGGCGCCCGCCCGGAAGACCAAGGGCCGCCAGGCGGCGTAAACGTCGCGTGGGCATGAAGGTAATTGGCCGTCCGGCGTACTGGGGGCAGCCGGCCCCGCCACGTCGGACATTCCAGGGCCCCCGCCGTGGGGCTGGGTGGTGCCTCAGGGCGCAGGGGGCCACCTGCCCCTGTCAGGGTTGCGGGCTTCGGGGGGCTGCGTTAGGTATAGGGGCGTGGCGCCCCGCGACCACCGGCCCATTGTGACACTCCCCACACCCGCCGGAGGTCGCCGCAGGCCCCGCGCCCCCTGCCCGCCCGCATGAAGGCCGTTGTGGCGCCAAACACCCGCACCAACCACGCCTGGTTCTCCGCCGCGAGGCCGCGTCCCCAGTGACGGAGCCGGGCGCCTCGGGGGCGGTCCGCACCGGCCAGGCGCGGCCCGATGGCGGTGCTCAGGCGGGCGGCCTGGAGGGCGCTGTCCGTTGCCCAGCAGATGACCATCGGCAAAATCCGACGGGCCTTTGATGGTGAGTCCGCCACGGGCGGGCCACAGCGCCCCACCGCCGCATGGTGACGTGTGTCGAAAGGCGGGACCTCTCGGAACGATATTCGCGGCGCGACCCCTGGGCCCGCGACCCCTGGGCCGCCACCGGGCTGGCCTCCCCGTCTCCGCCCCCGCTGCCTGACCCGCGGGTCGATCAATCTGCACCGCCTGCCCCCTGGTGCGATCGTTCCCATCCAAGGACCCTTCCTGGATCGCGGGCTGGAGGGCGGGCCGGAGGGGCGCTCGCCGGCGGTCCAGGCCGGCCCCCGGGGGCGCTTCCTGGGTGCCCGTCCCGTGGCCGCCGAGCCGAAGCCGGCGATCCCGGATCGGGCGCCTGCCCCTGCCGGCGGCTGGGGGTGGGGATCGGAGGGGCTGCGGCGCCGGGGGGCCGTGGAGAGCGGCCGTGGGAGGACCGGCCCGGTTGGCGAAAGGGCCGGGAAGGGGGTGGGGCGGGAGGGGATGAGGGGGGAGGCGGTGGGTGACGCTCGTGGGCGTGCTGAATCGATCAGACGTGGTTGGCGGGGCGAGGCGATAGCAAACGACGGTGAGCGCGCCCCCCTGGGGGTGCAATTTGGGCTCTGGGGCTGGGGGCCCGGCGCCGGGCGCGGGTTGGACGTCAAATTCCTGGGCCGGGCGCAGTTGTGCGGCACCTAACCGGATACGCGGCGGGTGCGAACCGACCCGCTTATTTTCACCCGTGCTTGTGGTGCCGTGTTACGCAGCAGTGCGTTGCTGGAATGACCTTGTGGACGCTTCGTTCCTGTCTGTTCGCGTCGTGGCTTTCGTTGCGCGTCGTATTCCGTGGCGGTGTTGGCTGTCGTGCCGATGTGCGTGAAAAGCGAATTCTGAAATCGCCACGTGGCTTCCAGCCCGCGGAACGTTGGTTTCCGGAAAAATGGAATTGCAGCCTGCCCTCCTGAGCACATTCTGCGTTACTCAGCAAAGTGCAGACAAGAGGCACTGCAAGCGTAACAGCTGGGCCGAATTGGAACTTGACAGCGGTTCAGCTGATGCGCAGCAGTGATAATTGTACTCCAAGCGGCAGCTGCTGCTGTTCTATAGGTCCAGCTGTTTGAAATAAAATTGTGCAAGCCACAGGGCTTTTGCTGACATTTATCAGGAATTGCGCCGTTTTTGACTGCGAAACTCTGTGCCACAGCTTGCCTCTGTTTGTGTGATCGTATGTTCAGGCCCCACGTGGGGGCACGCTCACCTCCAGCTATGATGTCCTGAAAGGTGTCATATCTCCTCACAACTTCCTTCTGGAGGGAGAAATCAACGTCGACGAGGTGCTACAGATGTGGGACTGCTTTGCGGAGGTCTACCTTGAGGTGCGCTGATGCGTGTGGAGACTCCGGGATGGCAGCAGATCCTAATGTGATGCTGTACTCACAGCCGTTCGACTCAAAAGGAACAGCGCCCGCGCCTTTCAGCATTGCATTGAGGGAGTCGGCTTCGTTTGGCACCTGTGGTTTCAGGGCAAAGAGTGCCCTTGCTCATCTCGCACGACTTCAGCCGCTGGTGCTTGCATAGTGCGTGTTGGATGCCCACTGGGTCATTATTCTTCACTCAGACTGCATGTCAGTGTGCCTCTGCAAGCACCAGTGTAGGACCAGGAATGTACCACCTTGCAGCGTTGCAGGTGTGCTGTTAATAGATCATGATATTCCTGTCATGTTCATGTTTCTCTTTGCATCTGCCGAGTGGCGCTTTGAATGCAGAGCTTGGTTTCAAGCTGTCAGCTGGCACTCTGTTTTGAGCAAGGGTCGTGGGATATTGCCGCAGATCGCATCACTGAAGGAAGAGTCGCTGGATCTGGAGAGCAAGCGACAGCTGATTGCAGACTTGATGGTCTGGTTTAATATTGACACCCACGACAAGAAAACACAGCGGTAAGTGCCTACCGCCAATCTTTGAAGTGCATGTGTCGAAATGTGGAAAACATTGTTTTGAAAGGTGCTGAGGAGCAGAAGTCCAGCCACAGAGCGTACCAAATTTTTTCTCTGTATTATCTCTGTACCAGGACCAGATTCCGAATTATGGTCCTGTGCAAATAGGAGGAGTTCAGGTGGCATAAAATGTACCTGTGAGTTATTGTTCAGCTTACTTCTGTGCCCAACATGCCACCAGCTGCATCAGGGACCAATGCCACAACCATGGTGGACAGCACCGGATGCTGACAAGAATCTGGATTGGGTTGATAGCTGTGGTGGCAACTACTGGTTGTTTTGTAAACTGACTGCACCCTTGACCAGCTTTATCTCCAATCGAGTCCGCTGCATTGAATCAAGGGTAGTGTATCAGAGCGCATCCTTAGCATCCAGCTAATGGCGATCGACCTTAGAGTATGCAAATATAATACTGGCCTGCTGCATGTGGTCAACCTGCAGCATTGTGCCTGTTGTTTTGTCGCACGTTTTGTCCCCTGGAGGACTTAATGTGCACAGTGGTGCAGTCTGCCTGTCCTCATGTCTGTTGCATGATCATTGCCCGATCGCTTTGCAGGTTCCTCCTGGCGCCACATCTCAGTGACACTGCGTTCATCTCGGTGGGTCGCCATCTGAGGCATGCCATGGTTGCCCGTGGAATGCTGGACCCCGCAGACCCAGGTCCGCTGGGCTGCGAGGCCTGGGACTCGGAGTCGCAGGCCTCAACCACGGAGGATTGGACTCAGGAATAGAGGCTGAATCACGCACAGCACCCCATCTCTAGTTCCTAGGATCCATCATAGCCAGTGCCTTCATGGTGCTCAACAGCCGCGGGAGTTGCAAATCAGCATTACATGGATTCCATAAAGGCTGACAGAGCGGGGAATACAGCGCTCCCCTGCCTTTGTAGTTTTGTCTCGTCGCATGCTGCTTGCATGTTCTCTTTGTGCGGCTGCACTTGCTGGTGGCTGTTTGGTTCGGCTGCTTTTCATATGGGATTCATTCATCTTCTTTTCACCCCAGGGCCTGATTGCGGGTTTCAGGGACAATGAGTGGGCAGTTTTGAACAATGCCGGGTGGGGTCTTTGATGTGGTGGGCGTCGGCCGCTTCACCACGGACTCATATGAAGAGTGCGATGTGACGAGACGATGCCAGGGGGTGTAACCCCGTCTGATAGTCGTGCCAATCTGCGAAACGCCCCACTGTAATCAAGCCGAATCAAGAATTAAAACGAAACTGCGTTGTTTGTTGAGAATGGCACGGGTGCTCTTCCGTGTGCCCCCCAAATCGGGACAGAAATGCTTATCACGGTGCCCTGGAGGAGGGCGTGCGTTCGAGATACAAAGGAAAAACGTTGTTGCGACGCACGGTTTCGATTCCGGCGTGCTGAACGTCTGATGTGTGGCATCATCAGCTATCCAAAATCCGGATTCAAACTTTGGGGAACTGGCGTTGAAAGGTGCACGATTTGAGCCCTGAGCAGGTGCTCCTCGATGCAGAGGGACACAACGAGCAGGGACCAGAACAAGCCATAAAGGTCCCGCAGTGGCCCACTGCGGTGGGGAGCCGCGACAGCGTTTCCAGATCGAGCTGCAACATCCCCTTCTGTGCCCTTCCCTTGTTGGTAAAACTCTAGTACGCAGTCACTAATGGCTTTTTCATGCCCATTTCATTCCAGTTTCAGCGCAAACAGCACCTCCTTAGCGTGCATGCGTTTTGCGGTACCACACACATTCGGATATCATTCCAAGCCGACAGCATTGGAGAACCACACGGATTCCAAAAGTACCCACCCTCCGCGGTTGCCTTACAGGCTGCGGCCAATTGCCCACACAGGCAAGCCAACAGCCAAGAGGATGCCCCCAGGTGCTTGGGAGCATATCACAAGGCTCCTATACCCCATGCCTGCCAGAGAAGGATTTCTCAGAACAGCAAATCCATTCAATCTACGCTATCTATATTGTCCACCCCCACATCCAACCAATCAACAACGACCCCTTGCCGTGCTACATGGACACAAAACTCCTTTCTGCCAGCTCTCCGCTAAGCCCCTCAACAAGGCGCATGGTCCCCTCGTCTGGCACATGCAACACCTCCCCTGGAACCATGTCGCCATATCCTCCCCCCTTCTTCCCACCCGGATCCTCTCCCCTTCCCAGCATCACTTCTTCTTCCAAAAAGGCAATCAAAGCGCCAATGTACTCTGCCTCTCTCTCCTCACACATCCTGTCCCGCCTCTGTAGCTGCACCCCCACATTTCCTGGCGGCTCCAGCAGACGAGGCACACCTCTGCCACATTCAACCCTGTTCTCGGCACCGTCCGTTTCAGGCACAGGAGGCTGCCCCGAGCCACCCTCCTCATTGCTGGCAGGCCGAGTCTGTGCCTGGCCTGGCACTGGTGAATCGCAGGGGCTCCTCTTGCGTTTCCGCCCCAGACCTCTGGTGCCTGTGGCCTGAGAACACATGGTTCACGGGCAATGAGCGCATGATTGGGCAGTAGTCAAGGCCCATTGCCGCCAGCCAACGTTAAAGAGGAATCTCGTTACCATTCAGGAAGCAACCAGCAAGCGGTGAAGACAAATGATGAAGGCTGTCCTTGCCACCACCGCCATTGTCTCCTACCTATCTGGCTAGAATTAAACGCTAGGCAATGAAGCACTGTGGCAAGCAAGCACTCCAGTGTATCAATCGTGCTTCTTGAGCACGATCAACTCTGATGCACAGAAATTATGCTAAATATGACTTGAGGCATCTTCGCTCCACCAGGGAAACGGAGTCTGCTCCCCAACATGTCTGCGCCACGATGCAGTATCAAGCAGGTGAAGATTCAAGGACTCGACCACAAGCACAACCAGATGAGGGGAATGTAGCAGTTTTGGAATCGGTTCCTCACCGATTGAGGGCATCAGCTCAAACTGTGGGACACTGGCAACGTACTCAACGGCAGCGAAAATCAACGATAATATTGCCTGGTACAGCATGCAGTATTCGTGCTGAGGCACAAATGCTTTGCCCTTCCATCAAGGGCTCCAAACGTCTGCTGTGGAATGTCGATGCTCAGTGCTTACCTTCTCAAGCTTGGCCCACTTGCGAGACACCATGCTGTCTGTCCGGCCAGGGAAATGTGCTGCAATGATTGACCATTTGAGCTTGCCGTAGCGATCCCTGCACTCATGGACCAATGCCTACAGGATAGCACACAATGCCTTCAGCGTGGCGAACAAACGAACACAAGCAGATGTTGGGGCCACCACTGAAGACCCTTCGTCCAGCCCGATTCCTTTGCCATGGTGCAACAGTCATTCAGATGACATGCAATTGTGTACACCTCTCAGCGGTAGTTGAGTGTGTGCTTTTGCACAGGTGAAAGCTGTTCCATTTGATGTGGGCCATCCCTTTTTTTTGACTCAGGCAGCTGCAATGGTACTCAATACCACCCTAGAGTGGAAGCGACTGGGTCTGAATGCTCATGCCGCCCTTGGCTATAATTGTTCTAAAATTGCAGCAATCTGTTGTCGGCGAACGAGTCGTTTGGCCCTGCACCGTCTAACTGATGAACATGACTAACTTCCCTTCCAATGTTTCAAAAATTCGTTCAACTTTGAAACTCAATCAACCCACGGCAAACAACGACCGTGAGTTTCAATCATGTACTTCACTGGTAAGATGCACACGTTCACGTGCTGGGGAAATACCCAGCAGATTGAGATTGGCGACCAGCACTGTGTTTCCGCGCCCTGCAGCCCGAAGCCTACAACCAATGACTAAGCGCCTGTGCATACCAGCCTACGCCGGATTCGTGTCCACAGAACCACTGCAGCAGCAGTCTCTGAAACTGCTCTGAGGCTGCACTGTCCTTCACATAGCATCCTTGTTCAATCGACAAGCCACACCCTTGCACCTCTTAACGGTTAGACACCCATTTCGAGAAATACTGGTACATGGCTAAGCACTTTGCGACAGAGGTTTGTGAGCAACCATTGTGCTGGAATGCTTCAGCCAAGCTTGCAAATCACGCCCAGGCAAATGCCAGCCAGGAGGAACAGATACATCATTTATTGCCCTTTTCAATCGATTGTTTTACAACAGCAGCGGATTCCCCTGCTCTTTCCCATCTCTGTCCTCGTCTTACTCTCAAATTTTGGCATTCCTCATTCGACCACGCGCTCCGGTCGATCGAGGGATCGAGCTGATTGTACCATCGCTCATTGCACTGGATCTCTGTTCTTGTGGGCACGAAGGTCATTACCTTCACCCACACCTTTCCAAACTTCTTGATTCCCTGCCACACACAAGCCACAACGTTTCGCTTCACCACAAGTAGCATGCTGTGACGCCAGACACAAGATCTACAACACAATTATGCACTCAGCCACACAAGAGCATGTGCAGATGAAAAGCTCAACAGTGGTGGCGGCGTCAATGGAACAAGACAATGGGGACATGAGGCGGGGAGGTGCAGGCAGGAAGAGATCGAACCTTCAATAGCTGCAAGTCCTCGTGCTTGGTCCATTTTCCTCGCTTTCTGCCTTTTCGGCTTAGCACATACTCCCAGCGATACTTGCACGAATTCACATCACACCCAACAGCCTCGGCAATGGTCTGCAATACGCACACAGCTTTTCAATACAATCATTGCAAGGCAGCACCTGTGCAGAGGTGTTGCTGAGTACATGATGCAGAAGCTTGCTCACAAACTAACATAGTATGCATCGGTATATTCCGCTGGTCTGTTGCAGTGCTTCAGCTGGCATGACGTTTCTGTACAGTCTATCAGCGTGCCTGATACAGTGATAGCGTCCAAAAATTCCAACCTGACAACCTTCTTGCTTCAAGTGAATACAAGGACCTCAACCTGTATTCCCATGCGTCAGCATGGCAGACAATCCACTGTGGAAAAATTCCCTGTTTTATTTACACTGACATGCACATGAACGTGGGACTCTGAAGCAACTTGATTGTATGCAGAAGATCAGATTCAATAAATGGACATTCGCATAACACCAGATGCAAGTCCACTTCAGATGTGTGGTGTTTGCAAAGGCATGCATACAATATGCAGCAATGCAGCTTGTGGAGATATCCACACCACAAGCAGCAATTTTGACAGATGGTGCTAAGTCAGTAGTACTAACCAAAACAGAAACCCACAGCATTGGCTGGCAAAATGTATGAACATATGCTCACCTGCCAATTGTGGGTCCCATGCTTCTGCACGCTTTCGACCAATTTGGAATCTGCCTCAGTAGTCCAGCGAAGAGACCCAGAATTCTGCATGTGACGGCGGTAGAAGCCAAGGCACTCTGCTGGATGCCGGCCTGTACCCAGCTCCTCTGCAATTTGCACCCACTGCAAGCGCAAAGGCGGTTCAGCGGGTCCAGCACTCAAGTAAAACAAAGAAATACCACAGGAAGCCTCAGCAGAACACGGGATACAGTCGCCACTTTAGCTGTTTTAGACTGTTTTGCAGCAACTCCAAGGAGTCGCTGTCTCTTGATCTTGTGTTCACTCGACAGACAATTGGCAATTGGCATTGATCCAGGCATTCAGGCCTTTGAGTCAATCAGCAGAGTATTCAATCAGCAGAGTGTTCAATCAGCAGAGTATTCAATCAGCATAGTATTCAATCCGCAGTGACATTTTGAACAAATGGCACTCAGACAAGTGTTTCAAGATGGATCCAAGACAGCCCATTTTCGGGCCGTGGAGAATGCCACCTTGCCATAGCCCCCACCTCGCAAAGAGATGGGATTTAGGGATTCACCTCAAACAGCAGGTCAGAGCGGAGATATAAATGCGGAGGGTTGGCCACCATCTCGTCCCAAAAAGGCAAGATTGGGGATCTCATCTGTCTCTCGCCTCCATCGCCATTCCTTAAATTGTGCCCATTGTGCAACAAGCTGTCTTCTATTCTCACTGCAAACTCCTCTCGCCATTTTTTAGGACGTCAACAGTTCCCCTGCTGTCTGTGAGACCACTTCATTCCCACGGCATCGTCGACCGCATTCCGGAACTGCTTACCGATGGTCTCAATTGTTCAGCATGAAGTCACGAATCTAAGGGCGAGATCTTTGATCACGCCTTTTGGGATGCATCGGTGGCCTGCCCTCCACCTCTATATCTCTCTTCCAACCTGCTGTCTAAACCGCGCTTCCAACTCCTGTCACTTCGCGTGGTGGGGGCCACTGCAAGGTGGCATGGTCAAGGGCGAGAAAACAGGCGGTTTCGCTGCCACCTTGAAAACAGAGGGTGTTCTTGGAAAAATGGGGTCTGTACAAAATGCCACTACGGATTGACTACTTAGCCCATTGACTCAAACATTTGGCAGCATAAATTAGATTAAAATTATAATATTTTTACAAAATTTGATGAAAATCGGAGATGTTTTTGTAGGCTTTCTAAAGCCACAGTTCATGACTGCAATTTAATTTGCGATGGAGGAAGCATCATTTACACTGGACACTGCAAACCATACCTGCCAACTGGCCCAGATCACAATGCAGCAAAGCTTTCATTTCGTCATGTGTCCTGCGGGGGGCAGTGCACCTCACTAGTCCTTGGGTGCTGGCAAACGTCACAAGTAACTACAGCATGAGAGGTCTGGACAGCAAGGACAACTTGATGTCTAAGTAGCCGATGCAGTGAGCTACTCACATTGCGCTCGTTGTACTTAAGAGCAAGCTGCTGTATTATCTTGGCTTCTGAGCTGAGCACAGGCCCTCGCCTCCTGTCCGGGCGTCCAAAGCAGTTCCAATATTGCTTGCATTCAAAGGCACACCTGGTGTGCACCCCCCTCTTTGCAACGCTTTCCCAGTCTGCCTCAGAGAAAGCTGCCACAGTCCGGAGAGCCAGAGGGTTGTCCAGCTGCACTGTCCTGATTTCATCCATGACGGACCTCAAATTAGCTGGAGTGAACAGTGAGGCATTGCGTCCCTCCCGCAAAGCTGCTAGGACATCGCTGCTCAATCTTTCCTGCAAGCAGCAAAACACAGCACACAGGGCACATCAATACAATAAATAAACGAATGCATATGAAAAAGCGGGAAACCTAGCTATTTGTGAGGTTTTGGTGTGTCTTTCATGATTTCTTCTTCGACAGCTGCACAACAATTGAATGAACCATAACTCCTACATGTCACAATCTCTCCCAATTCGCCACTGAGTCTCATCGAGCATAATTTTCAAAGTTGGAGACTTTGACTTGAGATTCGCAAGTTCTAAATTAAGCAAAAGCACCCAACATTACCAACACCCAGTTGGCTTGTTTGCCTTGCACGGGCAGAGAACAATTGCGCTCTCGCAAACGCAACAATACAAAGCGTGACTCACAGCCAAGCTCTAACATAAGCTCAAGATTGTAGAAACAGAACCTTCTTGGGAGTTTTGGCCACCAAAACAACATTTGAGAAATATATCTTGAAGCACTCAAGTTGCGAAGAAGATATAAACGCTGCCCCCCACCACAAAATTGACCATCAATTTGACGTACAACATTCTTGCTGCCCACAACAAAATGACTACAACCACCAAAAGTTCTGCAGGCAGCCATGTGTGACTCTGAAAGTCCAATAGCATCCCGATGAGCACTGGGGCTGAATGCAATTCTCAGCACTCCATTGTCCATTTCACCCTGGGGAAGAAATGGGCATTAAACATCCAAGATGGTGCAGCAACCACTAGTTGAGAGGAGACTATATCGCACAGCATATCCACCAACCAATCTGTAAGCAAACTGTTGCTGAGACAGCCGTGCTGCAGAGGATTACTGACATCAGCCAACAAAATGAAGGGAAGTGCTTTGTAATGCTTCTCAAAATGCAACAAGCTGAGACTTGCTGCTGCAAATGGACAGGCAGTTTGATGAAAGCTCCAGCTTGGAGCAGGCACTGCATTATGGCAATGCCTGCCAAGGACTGATAAGCTGTTGCGATTTTCATACGATTCTTGAGTCACGAAATGATGTCGAATGTCCTCTGTCAGCACGCACACCAAACATCTGCAGCCGATGCCAACATTGACCAGCAGGAGGCTCTTGCCAATCGTTCCACCAATGAGCTTTTGCCCATTGAGCTTTTACCTCTAGGCGTGCCAGCAAGCCATGGGCCAGCCTCTGCTGCTCATCTTTGGTCCACAAGGTGGAATGCCTGAACTTGGTGGGCATTCGCTGCAGAAGGGGAAGGACAGCAGCAGCCTCTTTTGTGGGGTTGGGCTTCAAGCTGCCTTGGCCCCAGTGAGAAGCCAACTGTCGCTGACAATAGTCAAGGTGTTCCGCTTGCACCAAGTCGTGGCCTGATCAATCCACATAGCATGGTAAACATGTGTGCCATGCAGTCAAAAACTGGAAAACTGGGATAGAATAGCACACTTGTACATTTGCTGGCACTCTGCTGCATTGTGCAACTGCAGTTTTGAGACAGCCACACAAGTGCACATCTCCAGACAATCATGTTGGAAGTGGCTGCTGATCTCCATTTGGCAGCACTTCCCATTGGCATTGGAACCCCAGTTGTACATAGCCCTATTTCAGTAGTGAATATGAACACAAAACATTTTGGGCAACGAAATTTTGGGAAGCAAAAGCACCTGAACCACACATAACAGCGCAAGGGCAGTGATTCGTCTTTCTTTATCATTGCAAGCAACAAAGACTTTGCAGCCACTATTGCCGTTCCTTGTAGTGCATTTCTGTGCAAAAAACTCACTTGTGTTGCATTTCAGTGTTCCGCTAACCCTTTCGTTCATTCTGTTGCATCTTTCCTTCACAAGGCAATGTGGGGCCTCTGCACACTGGTTGCGATGACAGAGATGATTATCAGTTCTGCAGCATGGAGGCTGATGGTGGAGAATGTCCATCAAGCACAGACGAAATCTAAGGTGCTTGGCCTGCCTTGCTGGGAAGTTGAAGTTCCATAATTGTGGGCAAGAGTTATCTTCTTCTGGCAGTTTGGTTTTTGCCGTTGCACATGGTGACACATCCCTGGTGACGGCTGGCAGTCCACAAGTACCCCAGGGACAAGGACAGCCACCGCAAAGTGGCCTGGACAAAGAGGCATTCTGGAATTGGCCTTGAGTGTACTTGGCACGTCTTCAAAGCAGGGAGCAAAAACCTCAAGTGGAAATTTTATCCAGAATAGCTGCTTTTCTAGAATCATAATGCAGCAATTGCATGTTCCACCCTACAAAGGTTGTGTGCAATTCCGTGTTAGGCAGAGCATTGGCGCGTGACACTTGCCTTTCTCAACGGCCCCTACAATTGTGCCCCGTGGAATCGCTGCGGCCCACAGTGGCTAAATTGCTGTTCGCTGCACATCTACTTCGAATGGCGCATTCAAACCCTGCTGTTCCCGACATTTATTGCTCTACCTCCTGTCTGACCGCCCCTGGGTCTTTTCATTGTCCTCAATCCAGACACCAGCGCCCCCGTCTTTCCGTTGGCTTCAAGCGCCCTGTCCACGGCCTCGATCAAGGCCGAAAGCCTCTCCTGGAGAGCGCAATTCTTGCCTATCGCCTCCCTGAATTTCGCGACTTTGTCCGGGTCCTCAATTCGCCTTTCGTCTGCTCCTGGCGGTCCCATTGCGCCCCCATCGCCGTCGCTGTCACCGGTCATCGAGTGGCAAGCCGCCACCAGAGACGCTCCCACGTCGCCTCCGACCTGGTAAGCTTCTCCAGCCGCTTCCGGGAGTGCCCTGGTAACCTCTTACGGGTTGGCGGGGTGGCAGTGGTCCAGGGGAACTTGGTTCGTATTCTGCAGAGAGTACTTGAAGTCCTTTGCATTAAGGATTGGCAGTCAGAGTCCATGGTCCGTACTGTGCACTTGTGAAGAAGAGATATTACTGCAATATCTCTCAAAAGAACAATAAATACAATAAGACAAACAAGACAAAAGAACAGGAAATAAGACAACATAAAAGAAGACACTTCCTGCTATCGCAAGTGTCCTTCTATTTATTTTTAATTGTTCCTTTATCCTTCAGTGAGTAAATGAATGTTATGTCCATGCAATGTTCCGCCAGCGCTGTGGAAGGAAAGAGGACCCCTGCGTTTTGAGTTTTGGCGGGGAGTTTTGGGCGGCAATTTTGGCGGGCGAAGTGGGGACTACCTTTGGAGGCTGAGGGCCCGGCGAGCTCGTGCCCGCGGCGACGGGCCCGCGGGAGCCATGGACGTCAAGGAAGAACCGCCTTCCGCGGAGCGCCGCGAACAGGCCCAGCCCTGCGATGCGACGCGGAAGACGCGGAAGACGGGCCCCAAACGCAAGAAGGCGGGCTGCGGCGACGATGGCGACGGCCAGGCCAAGAGGAAAAGGGCGAAGGCGGCGGCCGAGCCGGTGGAAAAGAGGCTGAGCAGCGTTGGGAAAACCGTCCCGTGGCGCCCACACCCGAACGAGAAGACACGACAGCGCATCTTGAGGGCATTGCCAGGCGGGTGGTGGGTCACGGGACGTGGGGTGAAGTCGGGTTTTCTTGAGGATTTCCTGCACTTTTGTGGCGGGGAGATATGCTTTTCTGTCCCTACTAGATGTTAGACCAAACCGCAGGTCAGGGTCTGTAGTTTCCGGGGCCATTGGCAGCTGTGCGCAGTGGACCTTGGCAATGGATGCAGTCGCCAGCGTGGGAAAGAGTCCATGGAAACGCACAGTTTATCTATGTCCACAGGAAACGCACAGTTTATCTATGTCCACAGGAAACGCACTGTTTATCTTCTGCGCCTGTGTTGTTCCTCTTCAGCAACATGAGCTCCCTTGTTGCATGCCATGTTTCAGATGGATTTGGCCACTTGTACATCTGCTTGTACATCGATGGCAGCGGCAGATGGTTGCTATTCCATTGGATTCCTGCATGCGTGCTCGTTGACCAGCGATGTGCAGTGTTTTGCGCTGTCTTCCTGCGATCGGACATTCCACATCACCTTTCACAGTGTGAGGTGTCTTATCTCCTTTCCTAGGGAAGGAACCAAAGGCATCATTGCATGTCACCTTTCTCTGTCAATCCATAGGACAGAAGGGGCTACCTCTGCGTGGTGCATTTCTGTTGCCGAGTGAATGTCTCAGAATGTGCGTTGACAGCATCTTTGCAACAGGTTCTGCCCATCGGATGTTCCTGCTTGAGCACAAGGTAGTGACTCCTATCGGTTCGCCCGGAGGAGGGGTTGAAGAATTCGTTGTGTTGGGTGCAACGGCAAACGGTGAGATGAACAACCATCGTCTGTATTTTCTTCCCCATGTGTCATACAGCCGAAGAGTTGTCCATGACATATCATATCAACATGGGGTGGAGCATAGCTGACATGGGGTTGGGGCAAGTGAGGGAATCGAAATCTATTTTGAGGATGTTGTGCATTGTAGCATTGTTGCAGATGATCTGTGCTCAAATTCCTTACCGCTTCCTGTTCCAAATGGAGCAACATAAGGAGTCATGTGTTGTGTATTTGTCTCATTTTGTAACAAACAGGACAGCATAGAGCAAGGGCACGTCCGGCCCCACAAGTTTTGGCTGGTTGACTCCAGGTGTCCAAACAAAACTATGGGGCAACCCAAGCCATGGCTGGTGCTTGGCTGTGCAAAATCTGAGGTGTGTGGGGCTTGAATGCTGCCTTGGTGATATTCGCTGTGAATACACATTACACTTGAAGTGTTGATTATGAAGTAGAAATTGCAATCCAGTTGAATTTGTAATTTCGGGAGTGCCCAGCATGTCCCCTTCAATGTGGCATGGAGTCCTTGCAGCCACTTCTTGACTGCAAGATCGGCATGCAGAGCAATAGCCCACCCCATCTGCTGATGCCAGGCAGGCACTTGCAGCCTGCTCAACCTGATGCAGAATGAAACCAAGGTACAGAGAAACACCTGCTTTTCTGGAACTATGCAGCAGTCTGTCGATGTGGTGTTCTGTGTGCTGGGCTCAGTACAAAGTGATGGAATGGATTATTGCAAGCTGCACCATCTCACAACTTTTGTGAATTCTTGGACGCAGTGTACACAGTCACCATTTCACGCCATTCTGGATGCACCTGCCCAGACTTTGCCAAGGGCAACCTGTGCAAACACGTCCTGTTTGTAATGATCCGAGTGCTAAAGATGGACAGCAAGAATCCGCTGATCTGGCAAAAGGCACTGTTGTCAAAGGAGGTGAGCTGCACTCCACTCATAGTTTGACCTTCTGCCTTACCCACAATGGAACATGCACTTGTAGTGTCATGGTGGCAACAAACCTGTGGAGAGGGCCTGGGGTCCCAAGCCTGCGAATCGTTGCTGTTGCAGTTGTGTGACAGCCACACTGAATACATGTGGAGGCTGCAGAAGCTTGATGTGAATCACACAATGGTAAAGAGCATAAGATGGCTGCAAGGTTTGCTGCCTGGTGTAGAAATGACTGCATTTGGCAAGGCCCACGTCTGTTTTGGTAAGTACAGATGTACACACGTTGCACCAGCACATCCTTGTGGTGCTGCCCTGTTCTGCATCTGTGCCTGTCCTCTCCTGGTGAACCTTTGTGTCTGTCCTAGTTGCACAAGCATAGACTCTTGTGAATGTTCAAAATAGCCAAGATGAAAGCTACTCAGCAGCGACAGTACATTGCTGGTGGATGGTTTGTATTGCTTATGCATTTAGGGAGTAGTGTGGCTGTTCATCCATCTTGGACTGAATAGAAATAATACGTCCAGATTATTAGAACGGCCATGGATTTGACGGGGGCAGGTACTGAGCATTGTGTAGCTACTGTTCACACAGCAATTGCTCACAATGTTTGCACTTGCTCATCAGCAGTGTTTAGCCTTGGTTGTTTTTTCTTTGAAGGTGGACCTAATTCTGAGCAACCAACAGGAGAACTGTGGTGAAGCAGTCATGGCTAGCGGAAGAGTTCTTGGGGCATATAAGAAGATAGCATCGCAAGGTGCGTTTCAGATGGCATTGATGGATAATCTGCAAGCAAGCCATTGTCTAGTAACACCCCATTCGGCACGATTATCTTGTGGTCACAATTCACATCGAGTTTTCATTTTGTGCTGTCAGGTAGACCCACAAATTCTTGTGCGATCTTGGTGCAACATTTTTGCTGTACAGTTGAACTGCTTTGTCGATAGATTGCTTTCTTGGTCTGTTCCTTCAACAGTCGCAATTATATAAAGTAGTGCGTTTGGTCGAGACTGACATGGCGTGTGGTGCTTTTGTCCAGAAGAGCAACTGGAGGAGGAGGAAGGGGATCCGAACAGGAAACCAGTTGAAGGAGATTGCCCAGTCTGTTATGAAGAGCTGAAGGTATGATTTCGAGAATGACTGTGAGACCATTTCCAAGGCAAGAAATTGAAGTCTTGCAATTCTTACCCAACTTTGCTCTTGAATTTTATCCTCAACACACTGTGGTCAGCTCCCCCAGTCCTGTTGCAATAAAAGCACGTTGCTGTGAACATTTGCGTGACAGGAGTTTGGCAAAAGGCTATCTTATGTGCGTCTTGCCACTGCTGCAGGAGGGTGGTGAGGCACTGGTGTGGTGCAATACTTGTGGCAACAACATTCACAAGGTGTGCTTCACCAAGTGGAGCAGAACACAACTCCAAAACTGCGGCTCCGTCACTTGTGTGTACTGCCGCTCTCCATGGGAAGATGGCTCTAACCCAGGTGTGGTCATGGACATGCATGGTGTTGCTGTATATCTAAAAGTATTCACCCACAGTAACTTTCGCATACATTGACAGCGCACGAATTTCTTACCCCACGCCCCCAACACCCCCCCTTCTCAAGGATTCTGGCTCACAAACGTTTCTGGCAAGCAAACTTAACATCCTGCAAAGCTTGCAGTGCAACTCTCGGACACTGGAATCTATCCTTGCGCACTGCCCCCTAGGTCCTTAGGCAACAAGGGGATTGCAAAACTCCTGTTGACCCAGCAGTCTGCCATACCCTGTCACCAACAAAGCCTTCCTCTGGGCCTTCACCCCCCTCCCCCCCCCCACCCCCCCACTACATTTTGGGAAGCCAACAGGCCACAGGGCGCAAGCGCTCAATTTGCTTGGGAGAGAGGTGGAAATTGTAGTGGGTAAAAAATCAAGAGCCGATCTTCAGCCTATGTTGTTATGCCTTGATGGTCTTGGCTTTCGCAGAACTTCTTACACTGGCATGGCAAAGGATGTCAGGAGCCTGTTGTTGGCCCATTTGTGGGCACTAGGAGCAAAGGAGCCGCTGCGAGCGCCCTAGGCCATTGTGGTCAGGTCTTTACAAGCTGAATGCGTGTAAACTATGCTCAAGTTAATCAATGATCAGCTCTGTCATGTCGACTCAGCCACTCTGCCCTGCACTTTCGATATGGGAGGTGCATTCCCACATATTGCCAATGCGTTTCTTTCCTTGCAGGGAAAATTGAGGGTGTCAAGGACAACGATGGGTATGTGAACTTGCGCGACGTCAGCCAACACCACAACAGCAACAACACCTCCTTGGATGCTCTCTATGGTGACACGTCCATGTGGGTTGAGGCAAGCATGGGCCTCATATCAAGGAGGAATGCGGCCAGACTCTTCCATGCAGCTAGGGGAGAGTTTTGAAAGAATGGAATGTGGCACCGAGCTACGAATTTCCATCTGACTGGCTGCCTGCCTGTCTGCATTTTACTGGTGTTTGCAATGCACACCGTCGATGTGGTTAGGTTGGTTTCGTTGCCCTCATACTATACGTGTTGTGAGTTGTGAGTCTGGTGCCTCAAGGGACTTCGCATATATCCTGTACACCTGGCAGGTTTGCCTCACTTGTTTCGGGGTGAGGGACAGCATCGTGAAGATAGCAACGCAATCTCCTTTTCACTTCGTTTGTGCTCAAAGCAACATTTAGTCTAATTTTGGTTTAAATTTTCAAGGCAACTTTCTCAGTATCCCAGCTGAAGTGTCACACATCCTGTCAGCCGCTCTCCTGGAGTCCTCTTTACTTTGCCACACGCCTGTCATCGCTCTGTGGATTCTTTCCTATTCATAGCTATGCGTTGCATTGCTGTCCACAGTGTGTAACTGTTGGCCCTCGTCTCTTGACACCGCCACAGCCAGTGTGCACACAACAGTGTCCCCTTGTCCCTTCCAGTGACCACAATGCGTCTCCCGCACACCAACTCCAGGGGCGCAGTCGCCGTTGGTATCTGCCCCTTTCCCCGCTGTTAAACGCTGAATCAACGCATCGGCTGCTGCGCAATTTGCACGGACAACGTGAACTTGGCAATGCACGGCAAAGCAGGTCCGTGCGAAGAAAGAGCGCGTCCTAACCAATCGGCAGGCATATTCCGGATAGTACCTTTGCCGAATGAGGTGGCTCCTTGCAACAACCTCCCCTCGCTCTCGCTGGGCGTCACCTGCTTCATCCTCCCACCCCCAGCTACCCGGCCATGGCCTGCACGATCCTCTTGGTCACCGCCCCCGCCTCCTCCGCGCCTAGGTCCTCGCAGTTCCGTATGCAGTTGGCCACCAGCACGCAGGTCGCCAGCTTATCCGCGTCCACCCAGCACAAGCCGTTGACGCCCACGACGACCTCGAACTTGAACGCGGCGCCCAGCGCGGCCAGCGCGGGGTGCGGCGGCACCGCTAGGAGGGACGCCACCGTGGCGCTGGACACGCTGAAGGTCATGCCGCCGGAGAGGGGCCCCATGCCGGCGGCCTTGCCCAGCGCGTTGGTACAGGCGAGGACGGGGTGGAGGTCGCGGTCGGCGGCGGTCACGCGCGCGTAGACGAGGTCGCCGGCCTTGAGGGCTGGGATGTTGCGGCGCGTGACGTTCTCGAATGCCAGCAGCGGCAGATCGGCGTTGAAGGGGCCGTTGATGTCCACGATGAAGTTCTGCGCGGGGTGCACGCGGGGTGGGGAGTTGTGGGGGCTGATTGCGTTGCAGGTCTGGCAGATCGGGCTGAGATCTGATCTGGCCGGGGTTCGCTGTGATCGGGACGCCGCGTTGACTTTGCCGCCGACCGCGTCGACGTGTGCCGGTCGGCCATTTGTGTGCGCAGATGTTCGAACAAGCAAACATGTGGGCAAACAAACACACACGCGCAAACACACGATACTTTTGTGAGTTGGCAGGAATGGAATGCGTGTGCCACTGCCTGGGTCGCGCAGACAAGCAGCGCGAGAGGCGGCGGGGGGGAAGGCGCAGGCGGGTTTCTCACCTCGGGGAGCCTGTCCCTCACGATGCCGACCACGGCGTCATCAACCCGCGGGATGTACCTGGCGCCCCCGCAAGACAAGCGCCGCAGTCAGCACGTCGCCTGGCGGCGTGCGCCTCGCCGCCGCCCGCCGCGGCCGCCACTCACTTTTTCTGCCTGCCCTTGATCCACAACTTGCCCCTGTTGGTCCGCTGCAGCCTGCCCGCCTTGGACGCCGCCATGCACCCGTCCTGCAGGCGGACGCCGCTGCCGATTCGGACCTCCCCCGACTCCGGCAGCTCCAGGACGGGGTCTCCCGGACCCAGCACCTGGGACGCTCCCAAGCTCATGCCGCCCAGCCGTTCGGTCGCGGGGCCTCGACCGAGTTCTGGACCCAAGTCCTCGTTCCTCCTGACTGCGTTTGGGCGATGTTTTGAAGGCATTTGACATGTATTTTCTTGCTATGTTTGCACTGGGGCTTCCAATTACTGCACCAGCTTTTCGGCTGACCCCCCAGTAATTCAATGGGCTCGCTAATCTAAATCACCCGGCGGACAAGCGACCCGGGAAGCCGTCTCTTCTTCTGTGTGTAAGTGTGCATAATTTGACAGACACTATCCGAATCAGGATACTTTCCAGCAGTGCTTCGGTTGGTAAACTTGGGGGGGCTACGTAACCACATTCTACATACTCCGGACCTATGACCTGCAGTTCGGGCACACAGACAGCAACCTGTCGACCATTGGCTGCGAAGTGGACGCCCAGTCATATGGGCCACGGTGTGAACCGTTGCTTTATATGAAGAGCACCGCTGAGGATGGTCCTCCGTCCCATTCAGACGTGCAGGACATCCAGTGTGCACGAAACGGGGCAACCAGCGGAAGGAAGCTCGGCAAAGAAGATACAAGTAAGTCCGATCAGTGCAAAAGGGCGACAAGAGCGCGTCGAGGCAGCTTGTTCAATTTAATTGACTGGCAAAAACATCACTGCACTCACAAACGGCGCTGTCGCTGCCACAAGCGGCATTGAAAGACGACAACAGGCGTAATTCAATACTCACAAATAAGTAGTGAGTATGGTATAAATAGCGTAAATAATGAGTATAGTAGGTCGTTTTTCTCTGTAGCATGTTGGATTGCGGACATGCTGTCCGGCACGCTGCTTGCAACGACCGTTTGATCATGCTCGATTGTTAGGGCAATCCACCCATCGTCTGGGCGCGCTTTTGGCCATCGAGGGATGGAGGACGTCGGAACTAGGCACACGGATGCGTTCATCTTTACTGCGGTTGCTTGCAGGACACATCCGACTCTTCCAAAACGACTAGTTTGAGAAACTGGCTGCCATCACATAAGTGATTCACATTGTCATGCATGGTTGGAGCCTGCAGTGTTGTTTCACTGTTTGCCTATATCTTTGCCACGTCCACACTCAAGAATAACATGTTCGGACACGAGCGTCCGCTGCTTGCACGAGAGCCACTCAGGAAGTGATCTCAAGGAAGAAAATGTACAGCTTCATGTACTGTTTCTGGCGGCATATCCAATGCTCCGTCAGCGACAAATGCTGTGCTGTACTTCTCTAAGAATGCTCCAAACAGGGGCTGCTTTAAGCAGCCCAACGATGGGGACCATGCCATTCTTTCTTGCCATAACAAACCGACCCACTAGCGTCGCACCTTCATGGCGCCCACACGCGCATGGGCACCATGTGTTCCTTGTGCTGCAGGCTCCTTGGTCTGAACGCTTCGTTGCCCTTTCAAATTTCATCGCACCAAGCCTTGCGTTTGTGGCCATCGGGGCTGGATCAATTCCACAACAAGTGACCATTATATGCGGCTTGTTTCTTGACTTTCTGGAGTGGCTGGGTACCAGTGTCCCCACCACTCCGGCGGCTCCGTGAATCTATTAGTTACGCCCCAACCTGAGACAGATTCGGCTTCTCAATCCACCGTTCAAAAAGGATCTATCCTTCCTTGCTAGTGGTACTCTAAAGTGGATAACTGCGTGACTTGGAGATTCGAGATTTGTTTTCTGAAAAGCTGGCTGCTTCTGAAAATCGCCTCGCTCTGGAAAACGTTCTTCGCTGCCGCGACAATCCAGGGGATCTTCCCTGCCCTTCAGAATCCGCGGCACACCATTATCCCACACAACCTGCACATTTCCATGCCCTCGTTCTAGAGCTATAGCGCGCAGTCGCTGTCTCCCCAGATCCTCTTTGCAGCAGTCTCGACATCGGCAATGCCCTCTCCAATGGGCCTCCCGCGCCCTGTCCCATTTCGACGTTTTCCGTCATGCACTTACTCCAAAATCCATTGGTTTTTCTCCCTGGAGCCAAACGCAGTGCGTCCTGTTTCGTTGCCGATTGACGGAGGACAAAGCACGTGATCAGTGTGGCACCTGTTGGATGCGGAGCAACCCACTGCATGCACGAAAATGGATGCATGATCATATGATGTGGGTGGAAGGGCGCATTTGCTGGGCGGAACATGAGGGCCGAAATTTGTCTGACAGTGCTTGTCGGAATATTCTATCTTGACCAACTCCTGCAGGCACACGCGGTGTCCATTGGAACCCCTCACAACGCCACCGGGGCGCTGGAAACTGAGCTTGCCAGAATTGAACCGATCCTAACCAGTCATTACATGGGAAGAAAAGTGATGTTGCGAAGCCCGCAGCTCCCCAATAGAAGCATTCGTTTAAGGTGTGACAGGGCTGTCCGAATTACTCAGCGGGGTAAAGAAGAGGAGCAAGAGACAACGAGAGCGATTGGATTCGGTCCCGCCGCCCCGGACCGTGACCTGCGGTGCTCACTTCAGTCTGTTCAGCGCCGCGTGGATCTCTGCCGAAACTTTCCTGGTTGGGGACTCCCATGTCGAGCCCTTCGCATCTTCCACCCACTTTTCGCATTGATTCCGGATGGACCTCTGCTTGATTCTGAAGTGCTCCCGGCATGCCTTCTGAAAGGGCTGGGGTGGGGCCTTGATGGCAGGCAGAATGGCGTGCTGCAGCGTGTGGCACCTTACGGACAAATTGTAGGAGCGGCTTTCATCCAGGGCGCGCCGCGTTCGGGCGGTGCGTCCGGGCTCGTTGAACCAGGGATCCTCCACGAACACCATACCTTGTATGCTCACCATCAGCTGCAAACAGCAGATTCAACCTATCAAACCCCATACTGAATGCCAAGGTAACGGAGGTGCCAGGTTCCCATGGAACTGATATCTGCTGGAACGCGTGTGTCTGCACGGCCACACTTGGCAAACACATGTTCTAGGCGCATGCACAGAGTGCCTCGATATATACCATCATGTATTGAGCTAGCTAGTATGCACAAAACAGTGTTTAGTTTATAGCAGGAACACCGGCAGACGGCCTCGGCCAGCACTACTGGCATAACTTTGCCCATTTTGCAGACTTCTAATCCACAATTTTGCTGTCATGAACTGCTCAAATCGTTTTCAGAAGATCACCGCATAATCACCCTATTTTCGGGAGGGGCCAGTCGCGCAAATCGCCAAACCATACGGCCCTTTCTTCAAGCCCCCATCTTCATTATCCTTGCTAGAAATGCGCTTCTCTCCAATTTGCCATGCACCCCGTCGTGCCAGCATCCCAAACCAAGCGCCCAGCGAGCTGCCTGCTTCTCGGCGCTCTCAGTGTGACAGCCGCATTGATGCCCCGTTCGCAAGCAGTCGCGCCTCAGCACATCGCCAGAAAGCAGTTGCACGAACGCATCACCCGGAACACGCATCGCCTTGGCGTCCGCATTGCACTGAAGAAAGACACACAAGGGACCTCGAAAGTCCGCACCTGCAGTATCGTCGAGCTGATTCCCCATGACGGGCCCTGCGCATCGTTTTGTAGTTACTAGTCAGGTCCACAGAATGCTCGCAAAACATTCAAGATGCAGGTTCCAGCGCGTCAGACGATGCAAGAGGTCGTTTGGGTTGGAATGCTTACTTCAGGTGAAGGGGACGGTGATTCGTGCACGGCTGGACCCATTCAACGCTGCCAAACATCAACTCAAGCACGCAGGAGTTTTGGGCTTGCGCGTGTTTTCAATTCCCCATTCCCAATCGGCTCGGGAGGATTAGCCTTGATTCGGACAGCTCCGATGATGTGCCACCCTGACCGTGGAATCACCGCCGCGGCGATGCACTGGCCAGGTCTGCTGGCAATTGTGCTCCCTTGTGACATGCTTTCGAAACCTCTCATCTCATTCACGAGTAGCGCACAATTTCAACCGCCCTGGCATGGGGCAAGTCGCTTCTGAAAGATCCCGAAACATCGCCCAATTTGTGACAGGCTCCAAAACGTATTTGTCCGCAAGTGCCACGAGTGTGCGCATGTACACACAATAGGGACCCAAGACTCCAAAAAGGCCTGCCGTGCATCAACACACCAGTAGTTTCAATTTGGTTGTAAACAACGGCAGGCTCACCGGCCACGTGCCCAAGAGGGACAGGCACACCATCCCGGACTTGTACAGGTTAGGGTTGAATCTAATTTTCCCGCCGGCCGTCGTCTTGAACTGCACTCTGGGCGGCCCGTTGGGGTAGTCCACCGGCACGTAGACGTCGAAGACGAAAATGCCGTTGGCGTAGGGCGTGTTCTCTGCCGGTATGATGGCGGCCCGCATCAAGTCCATGCGCGTCCGGTCCACGGCCAGCAGTATGCAGCTGTCCCAGTGCAGCGGCAGTGCCGTCGGCAGCAGCCGCACCTCTCTGGACAGGCGCTTGCTGCGCTCGAGGCTGGCCGCCGTGGAGCTCTTTTGGCTGAAGGAGTGGTCGCCGGTGAGGGACTCCTCGCACGTGAATTGGTAGGGCCTCAGGGCTGTCGCGTACGCCTGGCGCTCGTCCCTGACGCGCAAGTGGGGCGTGTCATGCACCGTGTCATCTCATCGTGCACATGGCCGTAGTTAGTATTCACCATGGTAGGATACGGTGTATGGTGTATGCGTATCGTACTGCATGTGCTGTACGATGCCGTGTCATGCAGCGCGTCGCACAGCGGCGTGAGTTCCTCTCATCGTGTTGATTCTGAACAAGCTGTCGCTTGAGTCCGGAGATGGGATCCGTTGCAAATCGAACGAGATTTATCCAGAATCTAGATATTAAATCTGGAATGAGGTATCGAGAGTCTACGTATGAGACACATCATCTGATGACGCGTTCATATATCCCTGCATCGCCTCTGGAGGCACATGGCCACCTCGTCAAACTCAGGATAGATGGCATCAAAGAGATAGTCCAGCCACAACGCGAGGGCATGAGGATAATCCAGCCATATGTTGGCATATGTTGCCATATGTTGGCAAACAATCGAAACCTGCGAGAAAGTTCATGTGCGGTATACCAAGTATACAAAATCTGCTATGTTTGGTGCAAAATCCAAGGAATGTAAGTGCATACCCCCCACAATGCGTGCAAATCTTAAGTATATTTTTGCCACAGCGTCTTGCAGTGCATGCTCACCTGATTGCCATTTCTCCATTCTTGGGTTTACGGCCCATCTTCGCCACACCATTCATGGCTTCACGTTCTTTAACGTGAACGTCGATGCCTTGTGCTGGATGCTCTTCTTGCTGTGCATGTGGTGACTTCGGTAGAGCGTCCACGTTGTCCAGCAGGTCTGAGATCGATCAATCAATGCCTCAAAGATGAATGGTGCTAAACCACTACGATCATCTTACTGTTTTTATCCTTGCACGATGTGGGATTGCAGAAAATTCAGTTGGCCAGGGGGCATGCGAAATAATCCATGCACCAATCGAAGCAATAGATTGCCTAACAAGGTCATGTGGTACCATCAGTGACTTACACATATTCTGTTAAATTAAAGTCTAGGCTAATCAAATGTGAAAAAAAAAACGGCTTGCCAAGCATTGATTCAATTCATCAAGGGAATCGCTCACAGTGGAAAATTGCTGCATTCAACTTTCGGATACGACGCCCCCCCCCCCCCCTCCAAATCGAGTGCGGAATGGAACTTGATGATGATTTTTTTACCAAATCATGTTCTGAAGCAATGCAGCGCAACGCTCACGACCTCTCCACTCTGTATCGTAAGAGGCACAGAGAATCATGAGCAGTGCTTTCCAAGCCACGAAGGCACATTGAGAGATCCCGTCTGCAATGAGGTCCTCACGTGTCGGGGCAGCCAATGTACTCACGTGTAACAGTGAGGTCGAAGTCGCTCCACCTTCTTTCGAATTCGTGCCGGATGGATCTCCCCAGGATGAACCGCAGCACCTTGGTCATGTCTCGGTACTTCGCAATGGTCCGGTCAATCTCGCGCAACACGGACGAGACTCCCTGCATCGGGACTAGGAGCCAAGGGGCCGGGTTGGACTTAATCTTTTCGATGACATCCGCGTTGAGTGAGCTCCACACGCGAACGGCGGTGTCTCTGCACTTCAATGTGTTGGTCTTTGCCGTGTTTCCCGAGAGCTGTATTTTGGCGGCCAAGCTCACGAGGCCATCGAGAACGTCCAGCACGTCTTTATGGCCGCCTGAATTCAAACTGCACTGTCAACGAAATGCGCCAGCGGCGCCAGGGGGCAGAAGCGCCACAGTACAAGCACCGCCTTTCTGAATTTGGCATCAACTGCTGTTCTGGGGAGCTTCTTGGCAGAACGAATCCCAGAGAACTCCGACAAAGGTTCCTCCATTCTCAGAGAGAAATTCTCGGAAATTGGTGCCAATGGCTGTTACAGGGCATGGCCTGGATCCTGTGGTCTGCACCACTAGCACTATCGAATGCTATAGGAGAATAGCGCACTCCAATAAACATCATGCTATAGGAGAATGGCGCACTCCGATAAATATCAGAAAGTGTGGTATGGCTTTCAAATCGTAGGGTTGACTATATGCAGAGACAGAAACCAATCCATGGGCTTCTTGCGAGTCCCCAAAAGCCCATGCCAGACCCAAAGTCAACCTGATGTGATGAAACATGTGCCGCAACTCTTAAGCTCTAGGAGATTCCATTTGCTAAGCAGCTCAGAGGTCAACACACCTAGCTTTTCCAACACATGAAGCATTGGCCTGCTGCATGTCACTCCAGAACGGCACCACATGCGATCTGTACTGTTGCTATTATCGATTGAACAAAGAAAACGAACCCAAGCTGGGCACACACCTCCCAGTGCAAACCCTGCTCTTCCAAAGCACTACGTCACTTAAGCACACTGCGGCACCATTGCTACCCTGATGCTTTGCTTCACGAGCGTTTCACATTGCATGATGGGGAAATGGATTGAGCGACCGTCTATAATGCGCGTTTTGGGCCGCACACACAACGACCACAGAAACTATTACAATTTGTGGCTTACTTACTGGTCTGGTGTTCAGCCAGATGGCTTTGATCTAAGCTGCCTGGACCTGCAGCCTTGCATGTCATGATGCCCTCCGTTGAAGAACTGCACCCGACAGAAAACCAGTAAGATTCGTCAATTCTGACCAATATCAAAATCGCACATATTTAGACTGTTTACACAAAGCGCTGCCAAATTTCGGTATCTTCAAGTATAGCTGGAAATGTAGACAAGCCTATGCCTGGGAAGCTTAAGGACCTACATCCCGGTATACATGCATGGGCACAATGATGGACGCACCTACGAGGACATGATGCGTGGTTTGACATATTGATGGACATTCCGAAAATACAATATCGATACTATTCGATACACAATATTGAATGATTGCGTGCATCGTCAAACCACCTTCTTTCCATCGAGCCTGCAGAGACTCTTCCCAAATAATTTCGACCACTGCGCACCTAAACAGGCACGCCTTCAGACACACCCATTTCAACGATCCTTTGGCCGACAACTGGCTACCGTGGCCAGGACACACAATCGACGACACCTTTCTTTAATGTTGCACAGATTCTGCCTGCACTGCGCACCAGAAAGGACACTTCTCCAGTCCATTCAAATCCGCTCTGCAGCGAAATCCAGCACCTCAGACACAAGTTCGTGAAGAAGATGGTGAGCACCGCATCAGTGACAAATTTCTTGAACGTCGCTCATTCGAAAATTTGCCACCGTCCTGACATACAGCTCCATTTTGGAGATGCCCTTGCACTGGTGCCATCACATGTAATAGAGGCAAGTTCCTGGAGATGCACCAGCCATCTCCTGGTTACTTTTGGAACATCCCATTCTGGGAGAAAACAAGACAAAGGAATTTCCCAGCCTCTGGAAGCCGTATTCTTTCTGCTGCTGGCAGTACTTTGGAAGTACTATTTTATTGCCAGCGCCTGCTCCCAGAGAGATCAATCTGATTGAAACGGAAGCTCTGCGCCCAAAACGGCCGATTCACAGGCTTGAAGTTGACTAGAACGAGCATCAGAGCTGGCACAACTTGCCTGTGATCGCTGGTCGACGCCATTGCCCCTGAGGGCAAGGTGCAGAGGGTGGCTTGATGAACTTTCCACAAGGATCTGTGGATACAATGCGTTGCACCAGTTGTTTAGCATGCTGCAATTGCTGTGAAATTACGCCATGAACTCTTTCAGCCAAAGTGTCCAGTTGGCACGAGCTCGACCAGCAACAGAAAGAACGGGGCGGCCAGCCCGCACAATTGAAAGCATTTGTGTTGCCCAATCACTGCCAACCATCTGATTTTCGCCTCATTAGGTGCCCTCCATACAGTGTTGTAGAGTGGTGAATAACGGGAATGAAATCGGAGGAATGGGTCCAACTTGAACTTAATTTGCAATGTATTTGTTTATGGGCTTTTTTGTACAATACACAAAATGATTCGTATTTAGTTTGTTATTCTTTCCATCTGACAATACACGACTTTCAGCAAACCAACTCGAGCTCGAGCCAAAGATGAAATTTTGGGTAGCACGCTTTCCAGGGTAGTGGCCAACTTCGCCAGCGATCCCCTCCGTGCCGCGCAAAGCCTGTCTCAATGACTAAACGCCGTGTGAAACTTCATTGTGTCGTTGTTTCCCATAATAAACCAACAGCACTGAGTTGACGGCAAATTCACCCGCCGGGATGTTTGAGAACCTCTGCGCGCTAAACTTCAAGGCCAGGCTCGTCTGACACACCGCACACCGAGGTCGGCAGTATCGGGGCCGCGGATTCGGTTCTTACAGCGACTGGACGAGGTTGTGACGGCGAGCCGCGTCCAAGATGGGGCCAGGGCGGGCGTCGGCGCGCCGCTGACACAGAGCACCCCGGCCTGCAATGTACGGGCACCCGCAAGGCAGCCACCCTCCCCACCCACCCCCACCCGGCGCTGACAAACTACCTTGAACGGCGAGCCCGCTGGTGGCTGCCTGCGTTCTTCCGGCCTTGCCGTGGTCCGGCGCGTGCAGAAGCCTCTGTCGGGCCGAGGAGCTCCTCCCGTTCCCCCCTTACACGTGGCCCTCCGGCGCGCAGCTGCCTGATGTGTGAATCTCGCCCGAAACCGCCCCCAGGCCGGCGCCAGCTACAAAATCTGTGAACAGATTTCGGCCGTGGGATGAGCTTCGCCACCAGATCGTCGGTGACGGCGGCCGTCGGCAGACAAGAGCGGCGAGGCGCCGGGTATCCCGCCGCGAAGGGGATGGATGGATTGATGACGTGGAGGGAGGGGATCGGAATGGGGAGGAGGCAGGAGAGTGGGAGGGGCGTCGACGGGCGTCTTTGAGCGGTGTTGGGGGCTCCGGGGTGGGGGAGGGAGCGGGGCGGTTCAAGCGCAGGTGGGCGCCCGGGTGCGGCCTTTGGCGTGGCCGGGCGGGTGGTGCTCGGCTTATGTGGAAAAGGGGAACGGTCGCCGATTGGGTGCCCACCCTTATCCACTACTGTGGCGAGGCAGAAGGACGTCCCAGCAGATTCATGGGAATTTGGGCGGGTAGGGCTCCGCAGCGGCTGCGACAGGCTGCAGGCTTGAGGCTTGGTATTCCTTGCACTCAGCGCGAAGCAGCTGAAGAAATGTGATGTCAAGCCAGGCGTCGAACGTTTGATTCACCCGTGCATCAGCTGTGATATCAGTGGTATCTGCAAAACATTTATTGAGTATGGGTACACGTTCGATGTCGCAGGTTGATGTCAGCTTTGCATTCAGACATCGCTCCAAACACGAGCAACACAGAGCAATTGCCCTTGTCAAGGGGGTAGTTGCAATTCTACGCAACTTGTAGGCTCCCCTGACAATGTTTAGAGTTAACTGAGCACTGTAACTGAGATGCTTTATAAGTACCTCAATATAGTGAAAGAGCTTACAAGGCAGCAGCAATCACTTCGAAATGTACTGAGCGAGCCCATACGACGTGGTGTTTTGTGGACGTAGCCTAAACGGATGTGGAAATACCACAGGGCAGCAAGCGTGATGGGAATGCGGCTGTCAGTGTTGCTCAGTTGTGAAGCAGGCAAAAAACTTCCATCGCCTTCTCTTCAGCAGGCAAGAAAGCCAACTGTACCCTCGCTTATTTGCTTTAACAAGAGGGAAACGATTTATAGAACGGTCAGCCCCTTTCTTGTCGTTTTGAAGTTTGACTCATTTCCGTATTGAGCAGAAATTGCAGAGTGTAGCTGTAAATTTCGTGCGGCGTTGTGTTTCTTGGAAAGCACAACAAACAGCGTAATGTGCTTCAATGGTACAACCATTTGATGGCGCAGCGCAGATCCACTAATGGTGATCCACTACACTCAGGGGGCCTCCTCCAACGAAGATATCCAACGCCTCGACGGGAAATGCCATATGGTGCTATGCATGGCTACCTGCATCTTGCCGGGCGATAATGCATGGAAAGTATTGCTGGGCAATCAGTATTGCCTGTAGAAGAATTTCTTGTTTTGGCTCAAAGCCAGGGAACCTACAAGAAGGCCTGCAGTATGTGCCGGTTCGCACTGGCCGTCTGAAATCTATTTCGCTCTTGATACGACTTGTTTGCCACGAAATGTAGTAACGAATCGGCCATCTATCTGATGCATGCATTGTGCGAATGGGGTTTGCAGGGGATGAGAAAACATGGCGCTTGGAGCGCCGGTCAAGTGCACATGTGCAATCAGATTCGCATTGCAATATGTCAACAACGATTTCATGTTCCCAGAAATGTGGCATTGAATTCCTCACGATAAATTACGCCTATTAGATTAGTAAAAGAATACATATCAACAAAAAAAAACAGTTGTTTAGGAGACGCGCAAGTGCTGAAGGTTTGCTTGCAATTTGAAAGCCCTCTCACATTTGCATCTCCCAGCGCCCAATATGCAAGTAGTATAGGCCCCTCAAATTGCAGGCTAGTCTGCTGGGAGAATGGGGCGCGTTATGCATATGTCGTCATAAATGCACACAATTGATGCAAACAAATACTTGAATTTCCATCGTGATGAATCTCCGAGCATGGTGTTCCGGCAGGACATGCCCTGAATGTCCAATCCGGATATCCTATGCGACCCGCTTTCTAATACTTCCTCCGTCCCATATTAATTATCGTCTATGACTTGGGTACATTATTTCTCCATCGCGCCTACATTGAATTTCAATAAAATTTACCCCAAAGCTGCGTTCGGGAGGTTGGAGTGTATTATCAAAATTTCATGTCGATCCGTTAAGCTTTGAGGATTTGGCAGTACTTTGTAGGAAGGGTCCTATGGCCAGAAAAGGGTCGTTTTTGGACGTTGCGCCCAAACACAACCGGTTTTGGTTGTTTTGAGGAGCACTCCTTCGCGGCACCAAAACAAACCCGTCCTTTAAAACTACTCACGCCGTTCAGAATGGAGGTCACTAGGGTGCTTGCAAAGAGGTGCGTTGATAGAAAACGCATTTCGAATGCATTGATCGTCGAACTCGCCATGGCTCGCAGCATCAATTCATGCTTGATTCGATGCATCGAAGTGACGTTCTGGACCCAGATTTTTTTGTTCAGGTCTTTTCAAGCTCCTTTGCCACCATCAAGGTGACTGAGGTCTCCCGGTCCTTTTCTCAAGGAGCCAAAGATGGTGATACGTACATACGCAATCGCAATTTATCCCAATACATACATAATCACAAATTGTGCTTAATTTGAATGGAAAGGAAGGGCACGATGTTGCCGACACTTTGGAACTTTTGCACGGAGGCTACGGCTCACCAGGTCGCTGATCACAATTTGGAGCCCTCTCCGTATTTTCAGCGATATTACATACACCCTCTCGCCTCCCTTCTCCTCCAAAGATCGCAATGATTTCAACAAAAGAGATTCCTTAGCACACCTGGGATGCCTAATATCTTGTTCAATCTGCCCCAGCGAGCCTCGATTGAGGCCATTACACTAGACTGTGAAAACGTGCCGCTCACGAATGTTGCCTATACTTGGACATCCCCCGTGATGCCGAATTCCAGGGCTGCAGGTTGGTGGATGTTACTTGTTGGATCGGCCTGCGAAGATGGGGTCCATCGCCCCACGCAATACCCTCACAAGCTGACCCAATTGTTGGAAAATCCCAACCAGCACTTCTTCACAAGTAACGCAGCATGGTTTTCACCTTTTCCACCGCGTGAGCCATTTGCGGCTCGTACTTCCAGCCCTTTGCTTCCCGCAGCCAGTCGTCGCACTGTTGCCTGATGGCCTGCTGCTTGAGCCTCAGATGTGTGTGGCACACGTTCTCAAACGGATGGGGTGGGTGCCTAATCACCGGCTTGATGGCATGCACGAGCGTGTGGTACCGAGAAATGAGTGTGTACAACCAGGACTGATTCTCGTCCCGCCGCCTCCCCCGTCGGTCCCCATGTCGAGGCTCGTTCCAGTATGGCTCCTCCGTGAAAATCATGGACTGAATGCTAACGAGCACCTGCAGTGCGCACTGCTTCTGTGAGTTTCTGCCTTGCGTATATTTGCAATCTGCTAGTAACCAGGTTGCATGGAAGTGCGCATTAATATTAATGGGCTTTTGTAGGCATTTTATTTTCGATGCCAAATTGACTCTCGTTGCTGTTGCGCCTTGCGCGCGGTGGCCGCACGCTACGCAGTTGAACTCTAGGAGTTGATCAAATAAATATCTGGTGAGTGATTCTCTAGAATTGGGAATACTGGATGGTGCACCAATGGGCTGATTTGGCAGGCAATTATGTAGAGACAATTGCTGCCAGTCCAATGGTCCCAGTTGCACTCTACTTTGGGTACCGTTTAACTGAGGAGTGGGTGGTAATGAAGTACCACATTTGGTTCTCACTTAGATCTGCTTCATGCCATTTCGATGCATTGCAACGCGAAGCTGATGCGCGCAAAATTATTCCGCCACTTGCTTGTGTTATCACGTGGCGGTGCATCATGTATTTCCGCGTTGGAAACACTTGGGTAGGCCCAAGAAACCAAGGTTGTTATTTGGCTGTTAACGTTATTCCATTTACGCAGTTTATGCGGACATGCGAATAAACACACATTGACATGCGAAGCGTGCGCCAGCTGCGCATCGCGCCCAGATTCAGGTGCGCCAGGGGTGCTGTGAGTGGCATCTAGGCGCGCAAGAGCGGGAAAAACGATTGTTGTCTCCACAACGTGGTCACCAGAAAATGGCGTGAGGTGGACGCAGTGCTAGGCGCTCTCACGGCAGTCAGCGAGCCCTAAAACCTGTCAGTACCATTGTACGACATAGCGCAAATGTTGCCGTTGGCCCAACGCAAACATGCAGGTAACCATGGTCGCCGGTGCATTAACACGTTCAGAGGCAAGCAGCAACCCCGAAAATGAGAGGTGAGGAGTAAAAGAAGGCAGCAACGAATCATGGTCTTAAGCACCAGTTTTGCTGATATCTTTGAGAAAACTCGCTATACAGACGTGGTGGAACGTACGAGAATGCATCCCTTAGCAAAGCGCAGTGCACTGCATGATAGGCGTTCTCTTACCCGTTTCTATCACAACCCACACAAAGCTTCAAAACGACTACAAGGGGCTCCAACAGACACTCACACGTGGGTGCATAGATTAGAAAAAGTGCGCGCGAGCGCCACTGACACCCAGCAGGGCTCACGGGCGTCACCTGCAACAGGGTAGACGACCCCGGCTTCCACGAAGGCCCATCCCAGGTTCCCAGAAGCGACAGGCACACCCTCCCGTCGCTGTACAGGTTGGGATTGAACCGCACATTTCCGGCGCCGGTGGTCATGAAGTGCACCTTGGGCGGCACCTGCGGGTAGTCCGGCGGTAGGTACACGTCGAAGACGAAGCACCCGTTGGCGTACGGCGTGGCGCCCCCCGGTATGATCAGCGCACGCATGATGTCCATGTGGCCCTCATCCACCGCCAGGAACACGGAGCTCTCCCAGTGCAGGGGCAGGGACGTGTGCAGTGCCTGTATCTCCCTGGATATGTGCGCTATCGAGGCGGCTTTTCGCTTTCTGGCCTCATCCCGGGTGCCATTTTTGCAGAAGTGGTGACTGATGGCCAGGACGGCGGTCATGACCTGCTGGCCTCTGAATTCGTCGACATATCGGGAATCCTCGTCGTAGGTAGGGGCGGGCGCAGGCAGCCGAAGGCGGGGTCTCCTGGGACCCTCCTGGGCCGCCCTCAGCGCAAAATGGAGGTGTATGCGCTCGGCGGCCTTGAGGGCTAGGGAGGTGATGGCCGCCACGCCGATGGGCAGGCCGCCCCAAATCAGCAGCTCGGTGCGCAGCGGCATGGCCTCAGCCCGTGACAGGCGCCGGTTTCGATTGCCTGCGGCGGAGGGGAAGGGAGTGAGTCGCCCTGGCACTGGGATGGAGTGTGGCAACGTCGACCACAGAGCCAAGCTCAGGCTGTTTGCTCCGCTTGCCGATCCAGCACCCTTTCTTCAGTCTTGTTCCAAAGACGTGTTGTTTGGCACATTGAAAATAGATTCCTGCTCCCATATCTGAAGTCCGCACCGCCGATCAGAAGCAGGGGGGGCTGTGTTGTTACTTACGCTGGCGATAATGTCACACAAGTGGGAGCATCAATTTTGCATGATTCGATCTCACCTTAACATAGTTTAATAGGCTATTGCTATTGGGTTTTAGACAAGTAAGTATATTTAAACACGGCTGAAAGCTTTGCAAAATAGGCAATTTTTGCTTTGCGATATTGTTGAGGGTTTCAGAATCTTAGCTTTGCTCAAATGTAAAATTCACCAGTCGGGATACTGTGACGGCTGGTGGAATGATCATGTCCTGGACCGTTCACTAGTGCTGCATAGGAGCTTCCTACGAGAACTGAAGGCAACTCAGACTAGAGAGAACCAATCAGATTGGAATTCGGGTTAAATCAATGAGGTACTGGATGGGTCTGATTGAATGCATTTTATGTATGATTGATTGCAAAGAATACATTTTCAGGCGCCTTCCTCTGTTCAGGAGTGCCTTGCGTGGGGAAAGACTGGATTATGCATTAAGCTATAACTGAAGCAATGGCCCGGCTCGTTCGAATAAAATGGAAACGTATCGGGTCCATCTCTCCAAACACTGTCGTTGGTAACGATGCGTTACCTGCTGCAATGTTCAAGGGTGCCACTACCGAACGACGCAAGCGATGTTCCGGTTGGCATTACATATCATAATCACGTCATGTTCTCTTTGCGCATGTGGGTTTCGGATGGCAGGCGCGGCCAAAACACTATACGCAAAGTGCCGCGGGCCCAGCCCGCCCCGGGAAATGGATCGACGCCAGCGGCTGTTATTTCGAAATGCGCGCCAAGGCCCGGTTTGAAACGTTCCAACCCGTTCTTTGCATGCATCTGGCACGTCAGTCCTGGTGAGCTTTGCCTCGGGTGCAGAGGCGCATCCGAAACGTTGAGTGTGTACACGAGGGGGCCAGTCCAAAGGGTCAGTTCTCTGAAGTATCACAAAACGCGGAGAGCTGGTCGCGCCGCCGCATCCGTCTGCTCGGAACGTCGCCGCGGCGCAGTCCGCTTTAAACTGCCCCCTTGGGTGAAGAAATTGCCGCAGTTGGCTCGACAAACAGCGCTCGGGCGCGTTCTGGCGCTAGAACACACTGCCAACAATGCCCAATCCTGCGGAGGCGCTCTGGGCGGGCGTTTCGGCATTCTTGACGTACCTAGATCTGCTTTGGGTCCTCCGTCGAGACCCGTCGACGCTGGCTTGGGAGAGTCGCGAAGCGGTGGTGTGGGGTTCTCGCCAAATGTTTAGGACTGGATTTTAATCGAATTCAGTTCACGCCCGATCTGATGCCATCTGATATTCTTGGAGCCGAAACTTTAGATAAAGAACGAAACTTACGGTTTATAAAAGGTCCGGTATTTTCCAATGTCATTTTAGCTGATGAAATTAACAGGACACCTCCCAAAACGCAATCGGCTCTCCTGGAGGCAATGCAGGAAGGAGCTGTCACCATTGCAGGTAAAAACTATGAGCTGGATAAGCCGTTCTTTGTTCTTGCCACACAAAATCCCATTGAACAAGAGGGAACCTATCCTTTACCGGAAGCGCAACTGGATCGGTTCATGTTCATGATCAAATTGGATTATCCTAAATATGCAGATGAGGTGGAGATAATCAAGAGCACTACATCACTTCAAACGGGAGATGTTGATGAAGTAATCTCGAAGGAGAAAATTTTAAACTATCAGCAGTTGGTGAGGAAGGTTCCCGTTGCTGACAATGTCTTCGAATATGCCGTAAACCTTGTCTCTAAAACACGTCCTGGCGGGGAGAAGTCTGATAAAATTTCAGAGGAGTATCTAGAATGGGGGGCTGGTCCGAGAGCAGGACAATTTCTTATTCTTGCTGCAAAGTGCAATGCCTTAATAACGGGAAAGTATTCTCCTGATATTGAGGATGTCAAATTAGTAGCAGCTCCTGTCCTTCGTCATCGAATTGTAAGAAACTTTAAGGCTGAAGCAGAAGGCATTACAGAAGAAAGGATCATTTCAGACCTCCTTTAAAACTGTTTCAAAAACCGGATATCATTCTCGGAAAACAGTCTCAAATCATCCAGTTGATATTTAAGCATGGTTACTCTTTCTATTCCCATGCCAAAAGCGAACCCACTATACTTAGTAGAATCAATACCACAATTTTCTAAAACATTAGGGTCTACCATTCCAGATCCGGCAATTTCAACCCAGCCTGTTTGCTTGCATATTTTGCATCCCTCACCACCGCAAATGAAGCAGCTAATGTCAATTTCAGCACTTGGTTCTGTAAATGGGAAGTAGGATGGTCTCAATCTAATCTTAGTATTTTTTCCAAACATCTCTTTAGAGAAATGATACAACGTGTTTTTCAGATCCTTAAAACTGATATTCTCGCCTACCACTAATCCCTCCACCTGATGGAAAAAACAGTGTGCTCGTGCTGAAATTGCTTCGTTGCGATAGACTCTGCCGGGCATGATTGCTCGTATTGGTGGCTTTTTCTTGTTCATCAGCCGAATCTGAACGTTAGAAGTATGTGTTCTGAGTAAAATATCAGGATTTTTTTCAACGAAATAAGTGTCCTGCATTTCTCTGGCAGGATGATTTTCCGGAAAGTTTAATGCTGTAAAATTGTTCCAATCATTATCGATTTCAGGTCCATCTTCAACGTTAAATCCTTGACGCTCAAAGATCTCAATTATACGGCTCCTTGTTTGAGATATTGGATGTATGGAACCCTCAACTCCATAGGTACCCGGCAAGGTTACATCAACCGCTAAATCGGAGGTCTTACTTGCCCCCAAAGCATTTGAAAGCTCTTTCAACTTTGACTGAGCCAGGTTTTTAAGTTTGTTTAGCTCAGGGCCAAGTTCTCGTTTCTGATCACCAGGAACTTGCTTAAAATCTTCAAAAAGATCATTGATTACATTGTTCCTTCCAATAAACTTTTGCCGAAAGTTTTCTACCTCTTCCTCAGTTTTAGCAGAAGCATTTTCAACTTCAGAAATGAATGATTTTACTTTTTCGAGCATTTACTAGCAATTCAAAAATGAATCGCAAAAATAGCAATTATACTGAGGTATGTGATTTGCTGAGTTCGATTTCTGGTGGAATGAGTTTGGCCAATCGAGCTGCCTCTCTACGCATGAGCTTACGATCCATTACAGCCCCAATTGAAACAGTCATTAGTGTCATTATCAACATAATCCAGAGCTCCCCGATATTTTGAAAAATTACAGCGAAGGCAATAACCAATATGTTGTAAGAAGCGAGGCAAATGGTTGACTGAGCATGATTCAAACCCAATTTTAGCAGCACATGATGAATGTGATTTCTATCTGGTGAGAGTGGATGACGTCCTGTAAAAAACCTGATCAGAAATACCCTCAATGTATCATACACAGGAAGAATAAAAAGAGCCAGACTCGTTGCAACCGGAGATAGTATTACAGAAGGAGGAATTGGAGTAGCCAGAAATTTAACCATCAAGGTTGTTAACATAAACCCAAAAACCATCGATCCGGTATCACCCATGAATACTTTAGAAGGATACCAATTGTATAAAAGAAATGAAAAAGATGCGCCTGCAATGGCAAATGAAATAGTTGAATCAATCAAATATCCACTTTGATAAGAGGCCCACCCGAGGAATGTTGAAATAATCAAAGCTACACTTCCTGCGAGCCCATCAATTCCATCAATTAAATTAAAGGCATTGGTCATTACCACAATCACGAAAACAGTAAAGATTTCATTGAACATCCCGGGAAATGAGTAAATACCAAACAGACCATTTAAGCCTTCAATTTTTACTCCTCCCAGATATACTACTAGGAATGCCGAGAAAATCTGAACAACAAGTTTGTGCTGTGCCAAAAGGCTAGATAAATCATCACGAACTCCTAAGAAAAATATCAGTATGGTTCCACCAATGAAATATTTTTCGGTAGCCAAATCAGCAAATGAAACAGATAGAAGCAGCGCTAAAAGTACCCCAATAAATATCGCTATCCCTCCTAATGAAGGAGTACTTATGCTGTGAATCTTCCTTTTGTCAGGCTTATCCAGCAAGCCAAGCGATCTGAACAGCCTGATAATCACAGGCATCAAAGTCAAGGTGACTAAGAACGAAGTTGCTATGGCGAGCGGTAGACTCATAATTTTCGGTTACTTACGGTGATTAAGTAATTTCCAGCCTTAAAAATGTCAATTTTAAAAGGGAATATTAGACTATTTCGGCAAAAGGTCGATTTTATTAGTTGAAATGTTCGTTTATTTCTTTGGTAGTGTCTTTTGCCAATTCCAGGCTGACTCCATCATTTCATCGATTCCAAGCTGTGCAGACCATCCTAGCTTCTTATTAACCTTTGTTGTATCAGCATATATTTTTTCAATATCACCCGGCCTTCGATCTACTATCTGATAATTGAGCTTAGAATCAGATACTTTCTCAAAAGACCTAATTACTTCTAAGACAGAATATCCCTTGCCAGTCCCCACATTGAAAAAATCGTAGTTCACCTCCATCTCATTGGAATATTTGAGGGCCTGAATATGTGCCTTGGCCAGGTCTACCACATGAATATAATCACGGATGCAGGTGCCATCAGGAGTATCATAATCACCTCCAAAGACACTTAATTTTTCTCTTATCCCGGCAGCTGTCTGAGTAATATATGGAACCAGATTGTCAGGCACACCAAGTGGTAATTCTCCGATTAATGCACTCTCATGGGCTCCAATTGGATTAAAATATCTTAACGAGATAGCCTTAAAAGAAGAGTTAGCCCTAC